ATTATATATACCCTCTGGTAATTTAACATAGCTATAGAAAATCACCATTTTTAATGGGAAAATCCACTATATATGGTCATTTTCAATAGCTATGTTAAATTACCAGAGGGTATATATATTAGGCGGATACCCGATAAATAGGTGGGGTCATGAAGCCCATAAACTAAACGGGACCCGTTTAGAAACGAGGCCTTACCATTGGTGATCGTCCAGGTAGTCAGGTAGTCGGACGATGTCGGATTCGTCGGATGCAAAAAAAAACACCGGTAGGGACAGCCCAACTTACCCCCTGGTACTCCAATGCGGCATGCTGAAATATCAAAGCATGAACAAAACGATATTTTTGCAGCCAGGTTAGATGACGAGATGGTATATCGATTATGTATGATTATGTTATGTCAGCCCAAATTTTATGACTCCTATCATGATTTATCATGATTAGGGGGTCATCCCCAACAAGTGATGTCAGCACCCTCCACTCCAACAACCAAAAATACTACCTGGCGGCTTCAACACATCCCAAAAATGGTAGTTTTGTAATTTACTGGGATCACCCATGGATGGGAACTAACAGCCGAAACAGATCTTTGAGCTCCCCAACCAAGGCAGCCACATGGAGTGGCCTCAGGACTGGATTTATTCAAGAGAAAACGCGTATCATCAGCAAGAGTGGGCTGCCTAGGCAAGAAAAATGGGAAAACCCACAGTTCAGACCTCTCAACTGGGCTATTTGGGGCTTAAGGTCATTCTTGGGTATTCCAGTTTTGTGGGATGTTTTGTGATGATTGTCTATTCAAAATGGAACAACATGTGATAAAATCCTGTGGGTCTTCAGTGAAGGAGTCACTTGGTGGGTCCAGTTGCCCTTGAGTGGGTATGTAGGGTGTATATATAATATATAGTACAATAAATATAGTATGTCTTATGTAGGGATTTGTGCTGGTATATATATATATTATATTTAAACAATAATAAACATATATATATTATATTACTATTACTATTATTATTACTATTATTATTTATTATTATATCTATATATTATCATATATATATATGATTATATATATGATTATACATATATATGATTATATACAAATATATATTATTAAATATACATATGGATTATTATATTATACAATATATTATTATTATTATTTATTATTAACATATATAATATATAGTACAATGAATATAGTATGTCTTATGTAGGGATTTGTATATATTATATATATATGCTTACACAATAATATGTATATATATATATTATCATCTATTATATTAATACTTTTATTATTACTATTCTTACATATTATTATAGCTATATATTATCATATATAAATATATATATATAAATATATGATTATATATATATATTATATTATATATATGGATTATTATATTATATAATATATATAATTATTATTATATATATATATACATATGTTACAAAGTTCCTATTTACAGTACTATGGATTATTATATATATATACACATATGTTACAAAGTTCCTATTTACAGTACTATGGATTATATATATACATATGTTACAAAGTTCCTATTTACAGTACTATGGATATATTTCAGTGAACTTACCATGGTTATCGTACCCTCGTCATCAAACATGACAATGATACAATGGAGAATCATCGAGGTTTTTCCTGTCGAAATGGCCCAGGCAGCACTGGGTTCCTGTCGTGCTTCCACGCGCGTCCTGAAGTGATGGAACTGCACCTGCGATCCGGTGGAGATGTTCGGTTTGGGCTTGATAGGTTTGGTTGGGTGTCCTGTGTTTTGGTTTTGTTTATTGATTAAAAGGAAATAAAATCATATCATCATATGATATCAAATGTAAAGTATCATATAGTATCACTAGATTCTGACTAATTATGATTCATTTCTGTATTTGATCGTTGTAATCATTATCCGTAGTATTATGTAATGTAATACTGTAATACTGTAATACTGTAATACTGTAATACTATGTTCATAATTCATAATATTCATGATATTCATCTAATATTCTGTCTATCCTTGCTAGTTAATATCAATTCTTGTCCGCGTAAAGACTGACCCTTTTGACCAGTGTCAGTGGCTTCCCCGCTCTGCTTCGATACAGGTGTGTCCAACGACCGGCATTCAAAGATGGCTCCGAAAGAAGGAGAGAAAATCGCAGAAACAGCCATAAATTCCGATGAAAAAAACATCTCTGGTAAACTAACATAACCTAGCTATGGAAAATGGCCCATCTATAGATGGTTTACCTATAATAAATAGCATGGTGATTTTCCATAGTTATGTTAAATAACCAGAGGGTAAAACTGCCAAACAGCTTCCATTTGCTGCTTGATGCTACATGTTTTTCGGATGGCTCGATCCATGGCCACGCCTGCTGCCAGCAAGCTCATGGTGATTTCGGAGAGATTGGCGTGTGCCTTGGAGGATGTTTCATGAGAAAAGTTTGGGGAAATGTTTTGTCACACTGCACTTGTTTTATCTTTTTTCGCTTCACCTGAATGCTAAAATGTTCAGTCATCAGTGATACCCTCTGGCTTGTCTTGTAGGCTTTCTGCGGGAAGCTCCCCAAATGGCACTCATGGGAAATTTGGAGGTTTCCCCAACATTTTGAGACAAGTCTCAGTTCTTAGGCATCCCCCAAATTTGCAATGGCCCAAAATCACAAGTAATCCACAAATCGCTGAGGCTTCAGCTGCAACATGGAGGGGCGCGCGTCCACCACATTGGGAGATCTGCGCTCCGTGACCGGATTTCTTAGCCAAGGGACTGGAGAATCCGTGAGTTTCCGAAGGATTTTTTCTCGGTGTTCCAGTGTTCCAGGTTGTTTTATGTCTGCAAACCAACCCTGAGTCCATGAAAAATGACTATCCAAAACAACATGAAGATTGATTGATCTTTCTCTGACTTCACAATGACGATTACCGGTGGGTATCCAGTACTAGTGACTAGTGGGGCCCCGGTCACACAATGAAATGCTATTGCCTCAGCTATGTGCATACAGCTCGGCGATTACATTCAATATTATATGCACATGATATCATGTAACCCGGTCTAGATATCTTAGATAGGCTAGAATGCAGTTCAATGAACGACATATGTAGGGCATCAAAGGGCGGTCAGAGAAGACGATCCTGATCAACGAATCATGGGCAAGCTGAGATGAAGCACCAAAAACTTGCCTGGTTTTCAGTGCAGGGTACACTCAGATGATTTGAACTGATGTAAAGCAAAATGTGTCGACATAGCGAAATACAAACTATCAATACTCTCACTATCTCTCACTCTAAGATTTCGAACATGGGGATTCTGTTTTGACTCCAAAACACAGAAAAATTCGCGTCTCGGTCAGCTTTGGACACCTCTTTGATGTTCGGATCTGCACGAGCAGATAAAAGCATCTTCACCTGAAGAAACCATGGGGATCCACCAATCCACCATCGACCGATCTATGGCTGGTGATGGACCCACCGAGGGAGAGAAAAACCCGGTTGTTTAAAGGCAGTGCTGGTTCCAATTTTGGTGATTTCGATGGCTGAAATGGTACCCCCCCTTTAAAAAAACAACCTTTTGGGGGTTTATAGTCCGGAGTTCACATTATAAACCATCAACAGATGGGTGGTAACATCACAAAGTGTGTGATCGTTTTCCCCTGTTGACGGCCCATTTTATTACATCCTAAACACTGAACATTTCTAGGAGTTGGATGGTTCAGGATATAATTACAGTATCTACATGTAATGTATCTACCAGAATTTGGGACAGTAATATAGCCTCTACTAGATAGCCATACAAAGCCATACAAAGCCATATAAAACCATATAAAACCATATATATATATATTATAAATACATATTATAAATATATATATATATATAGCCAATTATGAAGTTCGCAAAGTGGAAGATGTGGAAGTGATCAGTGCCCCGTCAAGTCCAAGTCCCGGATCAACCGAGTCCACGCTGTTCAACTCGACAGAAATCATACGCGAGAAGGGAGAAACGGATTGTGAAGTCATCGGTCAACGCATGGATTGGATGATGATGATGAAGTTGAATATTATGAATCATTGGATTGGTTTAAAGGAAATTCTACAGGAAACCATTGTTTTTACCATTAAATATAGGGGTTTCCTGTAAATTTTCCCGTAAACCAATCTAATGAATGAATGATTACTGGTCAGAAAGTGTCAAGTGGATTTTTCTCTGAGTTCATGTGGCTGCCATGGAGCTTACACATTGTGATTGTAGCATTCCCCAGCGCCGAAGTCCCGATAGGGTAACCAACAGCGGCGATGGAAAATCATCGGTGAATCATCTACCCTCTGGTTATGTCAAAATAGCTATTGAAAATGGCCATTTATAGTGGATTTACATGGAATTACCCATAAAAAATAGTGATTTTCCATGGTTATGTTAGTTTACCAGAGGGTATCAATAGGCAATTGTCAGGTTGGTCTATTGGTATGTACATGAAACATAAAAAACACTGCATGGATCCACATGGATTTGGCTTGAAATGGTTTGATGTTTTAAATTGAAGACTTCTATCATTTGCCAACAGATCTTCGGTCATCTTCATCGACTCTCATGGTGAACCAGCCTTACCATGGACAATGCAAGTCTGCAACTTGAGAGACCTATCATGAACTATTTGTTTGTTGCTTTCAACATCTTTAAACCATTCAAGACCCATCCTAATATAAATGTATAATTATGATGAATGTTATATATATATATATATTATTATTTATTATTATATATTATTATATATTATCATAAATTATTATATATTATTATATATTATTATATATTATTATAAATTATTATAAATTATTATCAATTATTATCAATTATTATCAATTATTATATATTATTATATATTATTATATATTATTATATATCCCAATGATCTTCTTCAATTGATTGTTACCATCCCACAATGTTTCAAATCCAGTGATAGTTACAACGAATGATCACTTCAGATTTTGCCCTATTTGTCGGCCATCCACTGCTCGCAACTCTATGGTTTTGTCTATGTGGCAGTGAAACTGGGAGGTTGGATCGAAATTGCCTCCACGAAAACCCCTGAGGGCCTTTGCTTTTCTCGCCCCCTGCGGGGTCTGGGCATGGGCCCTGAATTTCACGAATTGGATCGAATTGGGAACTCTTACGAAGGACTAGTAAATCTAGTGGAGACTCACTAGATCCGCTCGTAAAAAAGGATGTATGCCTCTCGAGAAACCACATCTGACTCGCTCGCTGCGGAGACCGTGGCATCGTTGAACAAATACCACTGGCGACTTGGCTCTTCACCCACTTTGCAATACCTCGGCAGCTGGGGCTTAAAATCTACCGATGTTGAAATCTAAACAATCTAGGACGAATCAATTTTTCCGAAATACATTGTCATAAGAATTGTCATAAGTAAACTCAATTTTCCCGACAAAAACATTGGAAACAACATGAAATCAACATTAAAATAAATCCCGGCAAGAGACCCCAAACAGTGGGGAGGGAGTAAAAGGATAATGTAGTTGATGATGATGTTAATTAATGTCGATGGTCGCTGATGATGTTGATGATAATGATGGTGATGTCGATGATGATGATGATGATGATGATGATGATGATGGCGATGATGATGATGATGATGATGGTGATGATGATAATAATGATGATGGTTGTGATGATTATGACGATGATGATAATAATAATGATGGTGAGGATACTGCTGAGGATGATGATAATGATGGTGAGGATGATGATGAGGATGAGAGGGAGATGATCATTTTGAGGAGGAGGATGTTGAGGAGGAAGACCGATCCCAAGACCGGAAGCACACTCTGTGCGACCTGCGCAGTCGAAATGCACACGGACATTTCACAAGAGCCATTTTGCATGGGAATTTACAGGAAAAATGGCCGCGGACACCTCCGGGGACATCGTTTTGTGCGAGCCTGCGCAGTCAAAAGGCACATGTACATTTCACAAGAGCCATTTTGCATTTTGTATGGAAATTTACGGGGAAAATGGCCGAGGACACCTCCGCGGCCAGCGTTTTGTGCGAGCCTGCGCAGTTGAAATGCACATGGACATTTCACAAGAGCCATTTTGTGCAGAAATTTACAGGGAAAATGCCGGACGCCCCGGATACCACCTCGGTTGAACACCGGGCTTTAACTGTTACCCCGTAAGAACCCCTCAGTGTGGCCACATTGTTTGGGGAATAAACATCTAATATAAGCTGTTTTCGATTTTTTTCGATTTTCCGTGATCCACACCATCTCAACCAAGCTCTTACCCTCTGGTAATTTGTTACACAGCTATTTGAAAATGGCCGAAATAGTTGATTTACCGAACTTCAAGATTGTGATTTTCCAGTTCGCTTTTTCTATGTTTACCAGAGGGTCACCTTGAGCTCAACGTTGGTTTTTTCCGGGTCACGCGGTGTAGTGTCCGAAGGAGAGACTCCCCGAGTGATTCACCACCGCATAGAGACGGTACAGCTGTCGCGTCGTCGCTTTCGGACCCACCACGAAGGGATCTAAGTCGAGATCCATCGGGAAGTCGACGAAGGTATCGATCTTTTCAGTGCCACCTGATGGTTACTGAGCCATGGCTGGGTAAATTCAGAATTTTATCAAAGTAGAATCCAGTTTCGTTCCAGTTCGAAGTTTCTTTTTTGAAGTTGTTCATCGTTTTTCGGGTTTGCTCCCATGGTATCTTTGGTTCCAAAAGAAACCGGACCCATATTTTGGCATATTTTGGTACACGTGTACAAGAATCCATACCATCTGTAACTGTCTACAGCACGGTTTATCCAGATAATGTGTTCATTCATTTACGTAGTCACGTAGACGTACATACATCCATGCTTGGTGTTGTTGTTGGATAAATCTTAGTCGTATACACCAAGGCTACTTCTGTTGCTTTTGCAAAGCAAGACATTTACGTGGAAAGCCAATAACCCATTCAACTATCATGCACAGACTACGCATACAGCAAAATCCTGCATCTAACATATATGAGTTTATATATATATTCATATATATTATCGTACATATACATACATATATCTATATGCAGCGTTACTTGTACATCTCATATCAAATACATGTTATTGCAATGATTGATAGTACAAATTTCCTACATGGAGCACATGATCATGCCATCACTTGATTTTTTTTTAAATAGTAGTCAAGTGCACATAATGCGATAATAAGGTCTAATAACCATGATTCATGATGCTGTTCACGGTTTGAAGTTGCTATTTGTTTCTGTAAGATGGTGTGTCTCAGGGTTGGAGTCGATCTACAAACGCCTGGCTATGACACCCCATCTGAAACTTTGAATTGGCGAGGTGCCATGAATAGACTTGAAGGTTAATTGCATTTAGGTCCATCTCAAACTGAGGCACCTCTAACAAAAATGATGGAATAATCATGATTTCACCCATTTGGCTAGTAATGGCCGGGACTAATGTTTTGGACTTCAATCAACCATTTGTGGCCCTCACAAATCTCGGATGCAAAGCTAAAATGCAAAGGCTTTGCGCAAGAAAATAACAAGTTCAGGGCATCCACATTGTTGTGTGATACCTATCTGGCGTGTTGATACACACACACACATAATTCCATCTATTATTCATATTTTTTTTATATCTTATGTGCTAGGTAATTTATCAGGGTCGGTAGGGCCGGGTAGGGTTGCTAACAGAGTAAACAAGCAATACAGCAGGAATCAGCAGGAAGGGGAACATAAACTGCAGCATTTTGTGGGCACAAATATCAGGTCCAAAGGCAGAAATGTAGGATTCCTTGCGACCCTTGCAGGGACCTGATGTCGAATCCACTGCGAAGCGTTTCAGATGGATGATGAGACATTCAGGTGCGCTCCAAATGTCCAGTTTCTTGCTTGATCTTTCGCAACGTCGAGTTCGCTCGCAGTAGGCCCAGTCATCCTCAACCAGTGCAGCCGCTGGGGGATCATCATCACCAGTAGCAAATTATTGCTAACATGACATAACATGACACAACATGACACAACAAGCAATTGATTCGCCTGGAAATTGCTTCTATTGTCATTTATACTGGCTTATTTGGTTTGTTTGTCTGTTGACACTTCACCATCTGTTCTGACTTATAGTAAATAAGAAAGAAGTCCATCAGGGCCCATAATATAGTGAACCATTTCCATCCATGTTTGAAGCCCCCTTTTTAAAATGCAGTTCCATCACTAAATAGTCACTAAATGGCTAGCAAAATATAGCCATATATACCATAGATAACCCAAAAAAAAACATGGGTCCATCTCAATATGTCGGAAAAAACACCACCACCATCACCACGCGCTCTGTGTCCTGGTTCAGCTCCTCGTGACTGGAGAAGTGATGCAAACAGTCCACCAGATGTACACGTTGAGCGCTGGCAAGCTCCGAGCCGACTGATGCCACCGGCAAGGACAAGTAGACCATGGGTTCCTCGTGGGACGATGGAAATGGGAGGTATCCATGGGGAATAGATACCCTCTGGTTATGACTAACAGTTCGCCATGGTATAGATGGCCCATAGAAATAGATGGTTTACCTATTAATAGCATGATGATTTTCCATGGCTATGTAACAAATAGCCAGATGGTAAATTGGCAATTTCCATGGGAATGTCATCGACTTAGAACATATGAACAGTGGGAATAGAATGAACAGAAGAGGATGTACCCCCTGGTAATTTGACTCTTTGCGAACTGTAAAATCGTGATTTGAAAAGGGAATTTATCAAACTAAATGGGCCAAGACTTCCATAACTATGTCAAATTGTCCGTGTTTGTGTTTAAATCATTTGTCTAAGTGAGAAAAACATATCAATTTTTATTGAGGAACACGGAACAAAGGGTAAAAATAATCATCTATAATTATTCCAATCTCAAAAGGACACAAAGAAAAGCAAACAAAGATATCAAATTGCTGGCTACTATCAAGGCCCCAGGCTCATATTTCAGAGATGGTTCCTCCTCAATCTCATTGAAGGTAATCTTGGAGCGCACCTGCGACCATCACATTGGTCAGTCATTGGCCCATTGGCCAAATATGGCCAAATTATAGAATATAGTCCTGTTTATAGTCCTATTTAGTATTAGTAGTCCTATTAGAATTAGTATTAGTATGGAACATGTATAGTCCTACCAATAGCATTAGTATTGGTATTGGTATGTAGTCCTATTCGTATTACTATAGCATTAGTATTAGTATAGTAGTCCAATTTATACCAGTATTTAGATGTATTTAGTGATAATACTCGTCAACCCTATCCCGATTTGAAATGGCAGTCTCTGGGATGACTTGTTCCGACCTGATCCCTGGCAATCAGGGCTACTGAGCTACTGTCGCCTATGGTACCTTTCTCTTCACACCAAAATATCTGGGATAAATGATGATAAATGATTAATGTTGATAAATACGGTAATTGTGAATGATGGTAAATGGATGTTCATCTTCCGAACAGTTGGGCCATGTTGGGCCCATCCGGTTCTAGCCCGCAGCCAGATTCATCTATCATCCGGGCCATCCGTCCAAGGCTGAAAACGTCTTACTTTATGGCGCGTATGATATGGTGGTAGGATTCTTGGGGGGAGAACCATGGAAAGAAAGATGAGCTGGACACCAATTCCGAGCTACCTATTTAAGGAAAGTCAAGGAAAAAAGGACCAAGACATAAAGGGTTAGTTAGAAAACACCAAATGGACTGATTAAATTTCTTACCCAGGCTCCGAAAAGTTAATGTCATGCTGGGTTATTTTCCTGCTGCTTCATTTTGCCTCTCTGATATGTGGGAATACATTATTTGGCTGTTACAAGGCGGGGGCACCTCCTAACGCATATCAATCCATGTTAGTGGATCAATGACCATCCCCGAACATAGGCAATTTAGCCTAGCTTTTAACATGGCACATCTGAGCAGCAGCAATCGATACCTGCAACAAACACGTTTAGGTTGGTGACAGATACGGCTCAACAATTTTAATTTTCAACATGGAAACACAATGCTAAAGGCGAACGATACCTGGTAAAAGATCCCAAGCCATTCCAACATATTCTAAACATAGACAATCTTGGTATGATGAAGACGCGACTTCAAATTCCAATCCTTCGGAACACATCTCACATGCAGGGACCATATACTTCCCGCGGTCAGCAGATTCAGCAGGTCGAGAGGTGGGTCCTTGAAAAACCGTCTTTTCGTTTGCCAATCATCAAACAAAACTAGCCATAACCCATGACGGATCCATGGTGCTGCTATGGTAACATGGATCCCATCAATATACCTCAAATGTTAGCATATATACCATACATGGATCCTATGGGTAAGGGCATCAATAAGCATGAAGAAATGGGTGATGTTTGGAGCAGCATCGATGTTTTGTCAACAACCAGCAGAAGACGGATCTGGGGCATCGAAGATTGGGCCCAAAATTTCCCATGCCCCAACATCTGGGCAGTCTGAAGTAAGCAATTCGGGGAATGTGCCCCCTTAAATCAACCATGATCAACATCATTTCTGGGATTCCCCTTCCTGATAAAAACCTTATCATGTTCCTGGAAAATCCCCTCTTTCACCCCGCAGAGTCAGGATGTAGGAGATGAAACCACAGACTGACTAACAAATTTAACCATTTGTAGTAAGCCCCAAAAAGATAGAATAAAAAAACTTCAAATTATCATATCTAAATAGGATTTTACTTGTTCTATCTTTTTCGGAGATATGAACAATTCATATCCATATCGTCCACATTCCTATTAATCACTACTAGTCACTATAGTTTTCATCACTACTATAATTGTATATAGCTATTATATAATTGTCAGTTAACTATCCATTCTTACCTGGTTGGTGGTTTCAACCCCTCTGAAAAATATGAAAGTCAGTTGGGATTATTATTCCCAATATATGGAAAGTCATAAAAGTCCATGGCTCCAAACCACCCACTAGTTACTATCAATGATCGGATGATATGTCCCAATGCCTGGAACTGAAAAATGTCCATAATCTTGGAGCTATCTCCCTCGCCATCGCCCATCTCGCCGTTGGAGCCAGCCGCAGGACTGCTCACCTGGCCGGTGAGAAATCCACCACTTTCTTCCCCTAAAAGGATTGGTTTAACCATGGTTAAGGTTAACATTTACAGGAAAATCTACAGGAAACTTAATGGTAAAAACCTGTAAAATGTCCTGTAAACCAGGCAATCATTGACCTACAATGGGCTGGAACAACATGGAACAAACCTGGCAAATCTGAGACTGTCCAAGCACATGTTCCGAAAAAAAATGTGGGCGGGATAAGACCTCTTGGGACATTTCTTGGACACACTTGTATTATTAGTTCCATTTAGTTCCCATCGTTTAAAACAAAGTAAACACAGTTTGTTTTTCTGTTTTTTTTGCTGTCAACATGGTCCGGATGTCCCAACGACCCAATTGATTTCTTAGATCTGGAAACCTCATGAAATCTATGTATGATTCTTGTCCAGCTACAACTACAACTACAGCTACCACTACACTACACTATACTACAACTACAATTACAACTACACTACACCACACTACATCCAGCAGTTGTGGGTGAGGTGACCACTGCAACCACTCCACAAAGCACAACCCCAACCACCTTTCAGTCCATCATCGGATTCGCTCTGCCATCCATGCATCACAACAACTCACCTCTCCTATAGTTTCCTATCTTTGAAACTTCCGCCACCGCCTTGTGCGGTATTACTGGTAACTATATCATCCATTCGACGAGCAGTATTTCATGGGATTGCAACCCACAGTAGGAAAACCATGGAATGCTTGTGGGTCCCACTTAGTTAGTAGATGGCTTATAGCCCCAGTGAAATATCTGGAATATCCCCACCAAAAAAAAATATATGGGATGAACTATGGGTGATATTCATGGATTATCAACCACGGAACCGCTTCCTGGGGCCCGCACATCCTGGGGTACCCATTTGGAGGTTAATCTGTACATGGGGTTACCCCTTTATCGCTGGATGGTTTCTTTCATGGAAAGTCCCGAACAAAAATGGATGAACGGGGGTACCCCTATGACTTAGGAAACCATTTCAAATGGAATGGTTTATACATGTTTATACTAGAAAATCCAATGATCAATCCAATTCAATGAATGGATGACCCCCCATGACTTAGGAAACCTCCATTTACCCTCTGGTCAACTGTCACATAACCATGGAAAATCACCATGCTATTCATGGGTAAATCCACTCTTTCTATGGCCATGTTCAAGTTCGCAAACTCTTAGCTGGTTGGTGGTTTCAACCCCTCTGAAAAATATTAGTCAGTTGGGATGATTATTCCCAATATATGGGAAAATAACAAACGTTCCAAACCACCAACCAGTTAGTCATTACCGGAGGCGAAATCGAACCCAGCGTTCGGCATCGGCACCTGCCCGTCCGACGACACCGCCTTCGCAGCGCTGACGGAGGAACCGTTCTTGCGATTCACGTCTTCGTGAAGGCCGTCGAGGAAAAACATGAGCAGCTCCTGTCAACGCTTCACCGGCTTTTCTGGTTGGTGGTCTTAACCATCTTGAAACATATGTCTGTCAATGGGAAGGATGACATCCCATATACTATGGAAAATAAAAAATGTTTGAAGCCACCAACCAGCTTTTAGATGTGCAAAAGATATATGATATGATATATGCGTGTGTTAAAATACTATTGTAGTACCACCCAAAAGAAATCAACATATATTAGAAAAGTGCTTCATGAATATTTTGGCGGGATTTTGTTTTTTTTCTATATATTGGGGGTTGCTTCATGATAATATGGACCATCATAATAATGTTAGCACACAATGATGATGAAGAGGAAAATGAAGATGAACGTGAACATGACAATCATGATGATAATGAACATGAACATGAACATGAAGATAAACATGATCATCATGATGATGATCATCATCATTGTTATTATTGTCAATATCATTATCATTATTGTTATTTATATTTATATTGTTATTATGACAAGTGTTGTATGTTCAATTGTGATCATAATATAGTTATACATATATATATATATATACATACATTGTTACATATATACTCATTCAATTTATGAGATACAACGTGTATATATATATAATGCGTTATAATGATGTATAGCATTCGCAATAGATCATACGGAATCAACCCCACTAAAAAATGCTGGGACTCTTCGGGGGTTTGCTGAAGTCCCACGAAGAGATCATCCCAGCTCCATGGTGCAATGGTGCTGGAACACTTACCCTCTGGTTATGACTAACATAGCTATGGGAAAGATCCACCATTTTCAATAGGTAAACCATCTATAAATGGACCATGTTCCATGGCTATGTTAAATAACCAGAGGGTAAATGTTCCAGCACCATGGAGCATATGGGCATAGAAAAAAAACACAAACACAAAAACACACATACTGATGATTGATTATAAATAGCAATTACACGCACAGTGAACTTTTTGATTGATGATAAGTCGTCTGCAAAGCCCCAAGCCTGCAAGAATAGGTTAGGTATGGTTTCTTGCTTGGTTTTACTGTCCCCCCCACACAGACAAGAGCAATCAAATATCAACATTGAAATCGTAGCAAAAACAAGTTTTCTTTGAACACACACACACACACTAGACAAAATTGGATCTTTGAAGAGATCCATCAGGAACTGAGTCCTGTAACGTGCAACCAGCCTAGACAATTAGACCTAAAGTAGATCTCGTGGTAGTACTTCGTGAGAACGATGAAGGTTTTCCGAAAATATCATATGTAGACTAAACTTTACCAGGCTCCAAAAACGGCATGGTGGTTCTTGGGTTAGCCACATCACATCCCAGAAACATGACATGAAATGAAACTGAAGCAGGTACGTCAAAGGGACGTCTCCCTTTGATATCACTGTGACTTCTGGCCGTCTTCGTTGGCACAGGAACCAGAGTCACACCTGTGTCCCCTGCTATATTAAAAGGAGAGAAGAAAGAAAAAGATGGAAAAAATTGACATCTATTTAGATGTTACACACACACACGGTTTCATGAGACGACAACGACGACTATTGAATAACCTTCGAGGTATGGTCTAATGATTCAATTTCGTTCCAAGGAGGGGGACATGTTTGACCCTGTCCGAGGACAAATTGAGCTCTGGAGAGCTGGCAGCTTTTCCGGAAAAACAAGTCATATTCAACATCCATTGAGACGTGTGCTGTATCATGAGTAATGAGATATTATTAGAGATTAATTAATGTGGTTAGAAACATGTCATAAACCACCCATGACTGGGAATGGTTTATACCACCTATTTATGGTGATTTGGGGGATGGTGTATTATTGTTTTTACCGACATTATTAGAGTATCAGTATGTTTATTCTTTGAACCATTCCAGAAAACGCAGCTGGCCAATATAGCTGTGGTTTCTTATGGCCATGGGATTGCTTTATTCTGTCTGAAGGTCTGGAACATGTAAAATGATTGAAGTCCGCGCTGGGGTCATGAGCATTTTTGCGCATGTCATCAATAAACTGCCTTTGATCTTCCATGTTGAAGGGGAAACCAAACAACTTTGGGACTCCCAAATCAGTATTGAGTCTTGGAACTTGTCTTACTGGTTTTCAAATTGTTTTCAAACAATCTTCGGTCTTGGAAGTTCTTCAAATTGTGGCCTTCAAATGGTGTACAAAAATCATCGCAAAATCATGACTCATGACAACATATCTTTCACGACGCTTCGAAGCCGAGACAGCTGGAGAAACACCCAGGTGGCATCTCTCCTGAGCATCGTGTTGTTGATATCCAGCAAATTGCTGCCACTTCCTGGTGAGATCTGGTGAGGACATGGGTGCTAATATGGGCCCTGTCCAGTCTTCCAGATCACCAATCCATTCATCATCCGTGGGTGTTGGTAGACTTACTGATTTACCTACACCCAAGAAAGCACTCCATATTTCATACTCCTCAAATAAAGAAAATCACAAAATCCCGGTTTGAACTGTCGGAAACCAAAGCGTGCAGGCACACAATTTTAGCCAATGAATCTTCATGATTGGGAATTGAACCTAGTTCCGAAACAGTTTCTGGACTTTTTGTCGCTCTTACCACTGCAGTGATTCGGGGATTTATCAATACTGTTCCAGAAAATCATCTGGCCTCCCTAAGAAAGCAGTTGGATGTCAGAGTTTTAAGGAGACTGAACACAGGACTTTCTCCAATCCATGATCTTTCAAACATTGACAGCTGGCAGACCATCACTGCCTTGCCACAAAAAATGCAGGCATTGCGCAGAGTTCATTTGTTGAGGTCACTTTGTACAATTCAGTGTCTAGTCTATACATTATATGGTATATTTTGGGATATTATCGGTATAATTATCGGTAATTATATGTTTCACCACAAACGTACCAACAAAAAATGATTCAAGAAAAACACATGAAAAAGGGCACATTGAGTGCAACATGCACAGAGAGAGAGAGAGAGAGACAGAGCAAAAAAAAGGTGCCCCATGATTGCGCCCAAAACCCACCCACACAGAAATGTGTTTCCATTTGTTTTAAGGGTTTTAAGGCAGGGCGAAAGTAAAACAAAATAAGCAAAGGAGGAAAAGTTTTTCGTGCCGCTCCCACACTCCAACCCCCCACCCCAAACCCAGACATCGCTGGAACTCGAAGGAAAGCAAGCACGGACACCACATTTTCACGGGGGTGAAGAAGTTCAATATGACATATATATATATATATTATAATATGTATATACACACTGGTATGCGTTTCACATTGCATATATGAATATTGATAAACAAATTTCACATGTCGACGTTTATATGTCATAAACCGCAAAAAAAACTTTGATGGCTATGATTTACCAGTGGCTTGGAGTGGTTTGGAGAACCAACACTGCCATCAGTGATGCCAAATTCAAATCAAACGTATTCAGGTTATTAATACTAAATACCTTACATCCATGTATTATATGGATGTCATGAGGGATGGAAAAGCACACTTTTTTTTTGTGAAGCATTGTGAAATGATGTATGTCTACCAGGTCTACCAGGCTTCCGCCAGCTGGAAAACAAGACACCGGATGTTGATCGAACGATCCCTCCGAAAAGATCTTATATGATCATAGTTATACCCTCTGGTAAACTGTTACATACTGTTACATTTAACTATGGAAAATCACCATTTTTAATGGGTCAATATTTCTATGGTCATTTTCAATAGCAATGTTAGTCATTACCAGAGGGTAATCTCAAATATCTCAACCCAGTTCGATGTTCAACGGGGGGTTCAAAAAAATCATTGTTTCAATAGCAGAACTGACTTTACGGAAACCAGGGCTCTCATTGATCAATTCTCGCAGCTTCCCTGGACTCACGACGCTGTAGCTGCCACCCCACAAGGATCGCAGCAGATTCGCGAAGCCATCAGCCAGTCGTCCACCCATGCTGTCTGGCGACGTCGAAATATCGGCCTCGGCGACTCGGCCATGGAACGAGCGAAAAAACCCTCTGGTAATTTAATGGTGATTTAATGATGATTTAATGGGATTTTATGGTGATTCAATGGGATATTCATGGGATATACCATCTGGTAATTTAACATAGCTATTGAAAATTGCCATTTATAGTCGATTTTCCCATTGAAAATGATGATTTTCCATAAGTTATGTTAGTTTACCAGAGGGTAAGACATGGCAAAAGGGGGCTGGCAGATCTGACACATCTGACGATCCAATTTTTTTTGTTCAAATCCTTGATGTTTTTGTTGAAAAAAGGCACTGCTTGTTGTTTGAAAAACCAGAATTCTAGCCTGAAATTATTCACAATGGGAAACATATTGGCAAATCCTGGGCCAATGGGTATCCCTAGCTTATTGAATATGATCATTTCGAAGTATTTTGTACATCTAAAGGGTAGGATAAAAATCACCGGGTACCCTCCCAATCAATCCGCATCCACGCAGCCTTGTAGTGACCTTCGTCGTAGTATCGTCGCAAAGCAACCGTATTCGAAAGAGCTTGTAGTGTCGAATTCAAATAGCAGGTGTTGCCTGTGGACCGGACGACCCATTTTTATTCCCTACAAAGAAAAGAAACATAGACAAAACTAAACAAATGGAGTGGATAGAGAAAAAATGGAAACATGATAGAGAAATTTATCTATAGAATATTCCATATGTTTATATATTCCCTGCAAAGAATAGAAGAATAATAGAAGTGGATAGAAACATATGGAGTCGTTCAAAGTACTCAAAGCCATGGGTAAGGGCCTCTAACAACCACGGAAAATGTCCTGGTTCGTCCCATGACAATTGGGGTTTCCCAATGCCATAAACCTACCATTTAAATCCATTAATTAAAGGCGATGGTAAACATAGCACCTATAAAGATGGTGATGACTTGGGGATGGTTTCTGACATTGGGTTTATCACATACATGACAGAAATCATTTGTTCACACAGATCTCATCCATTGAGGCTGCTCAACTCCTGATGTTTCTTCAGCGTTACTCCATCCCCAGCCCAGCATAACAGCATAACATCATCAACAACTTGAGAAAACGATAACTGGTTGGTGGTTTTAACCATCTTGAAAAATATTAACACTTATTGACACTTATTGGGGAGCTTCGGGGCTGACAAGCGACCCCGAAACCCGCTCATGTTCGCTGCGCCTAGCCGGTCTTAGCGGCACTGAGACCCATCACATCACTGGTGGACGTGATTTGTCGCCCGTTTTGGGCGAGCAGAGCTTCGTCCACACCATCCAGCAATCGTTGACTCCACTTCATACGGTAGCAGACTGTCCATCGGGATACTGATGCCGAGCAAGGTCTCGTCATACGAGTAGGGATCAAAACCTGATTGGCTTTCATGTAAGACTTCCACATTCGCAAGAACCACTGACACCGCGCGCCCCACTGGATACGGGCAGTAATGGGAGCTGCGTCTTCTGTTCCATACCAGCGCATCTTATGGCACCAGGGACCTGTAAATTCAGTGTGAAGATTGAAAGCCATGAAGATCTGAATGCCCGAGATGAACGCTAATGGTCCGTCCCCTTGCAACATAGCACTCCCAGTCTGACTCCACCACGCATGGAGATGTTGCATGTTGATGTGGCCGTAGCGCTGGATGAATTTCGGCGGCACCTGCCATGTCTGCGGGACCACCGGGACTTGAACTGCCGGTTCCACCTGTAAAGGCCGCGGCTTCGGGGGCACTGTCTGATCAGCTGCCGCCATGCGCGACGTCATCAAAAGCAGTTTCAAAATTGCACCATGAAGAGACCTGTGAAATGCAAGCGCTTGAGCCAGTCCCGCCCATGCCACCCAAAATTCGGGTGAGCGTCGTTGATTCACCTCGGCTGCCGCAAGGTCAGTGAGATGATTATGCCAATACGCCCACTCCTCAATTGGCCCAGAGGCCTGCGAGATCTGACCATGCGAAACCACTTTGAAAATTTGAACCATGCCTGGATCCAAAGAGCCTACCAAACTGTTCAATTGATTCCAAAGGTCCGAATGCGGCCGATTGCGCTTGAGCGGCAAACGGCGCAAGATTCTCCTGAGCCCTGAAACTACTCCTTGGCAGTCACACCAAAGCCTGACACGCTGTTGCCTCTGCGAGGCCCAAGTGATAGCTGCCAACACTGCCGTCAGCTCTGCCCTGTAGGGGGTTTGTATGATCCCATTCACATGACCTGCCAAAATCAGTCTGTTGTCAAGTGTTCCGACTCCTCCAGGCACCATTGTAATTGCCCAGGCCGCGAATCGGAGCTTGGGTTCCCTTGGATAAGCTCCCGATCCATCTGTAAACAAGTCAACCGAAACTTCACTTGCAACAGGGGGGACTACTGGTGACACCCGTGGAAATCCATCAGCCCGAAGCAGAAGCCCAACAAAGATCTCCCATTCAGGTAAGACGACAGGCCAACCATGGTCAACAAGACAGGAAGGAAGAGAGCCAACCACAGCAAGTTGCTCAGCTGTAAAGTGGCGACGACAGGGGGCAAAGTGGGGACATTCCCAGGCACGGTGGTGAAAACCATCTTTGGCAGTGCACCATGGACAAGTCGCAGACACCGAAGAATCAAACTTCGCCCTGCCATTTTGGGTAAACAGGGTACCGTCAAGGTGACACCGCAGGTAGACCAAATCCACGGGACCAAACTTGTGCAGGGCACGGTACAGTTCTGGCAAGTCCACCTGCTCAATGCCATTGAAGGTCGGTCGGTGGGCAACCTCATCAGCAAGGACACGGCCCCAAGAAAACTTGAAACGAAGCACCAATTCATCCCAGGCAACATGTGAGACACTGAAAGTGCCAAACCGATCCTGAACCAAACCTTGACCTCCCACTGCCCAGCCAATGCGGTGGAGCCGCGACAACAAAACAGAGGTGGGGCCATTGTGTGGCAGACCCTCCCCTCCCTGGGAAAACAATCCAAGCATGGATTCAAGTTGACACGCATTTCCCAAATCCCGAGCATCACGGAGGGTTTGAAGAATTGCCCAAGCCTCTGGATCGGTCAATGGCGAGGAAGAAACCAAATGGAGCATCGGGTTAGCACCCTTGCGATCGGCTCTAAGTGCCCGCATAGCCCCTGACCTGAGAACCCGAAAGTGACAGTCCCCCAAGTGAACCACAGAGATCCCATGTAATGCCCGCGGCCAAGCCATCATGTGGATAGCAGTCAGCTTATGACGGTATGGTCCCTGAGAAGCCCGCAGCCTCACCCAAACTTGTGGAAGCTTCACCAGCCGCTTTTGGAGCTCGGCATTGTGGCAATGCCTGGTAAAGTTTTGATGGGCACCAAGGTTTCGTGCCGCCCTGGCGACTGCAACCTGACTGGACCGAAACTCCTTCCTGGCCGATGCAGCATTGGACCAAACCCTGGTCTTGGAAAGGTCAAGAGCTAAATCCAGATGCTCGGTAAAAGTCTCGACTGCAGTCCAAGCCCTTTCAAAAACACTCGCATCATGGAAAAGAAGACCCCAGTCATCGACGAAGGTGCGCAGACAGACCGGAACATTTTGAGCATGAAGCCACAAATCCAAAATCCAGTCAACCACCACCATTCCGAAGACGGAGAAGGCACACCCTTCAGGCAGACCGCAGTTAGATGCCAACGGAGCCCCAACCGACTGACGAACCCGAAAACGGCGAGTTTGCTTGGAAACAAATCCAGCCCAGGCACGCAGGGAAGACTCAGGGAAGTGTAGCAGCGAAAGCGCATACCAAAGAGGCCCGTGTGGGATGTTGTTGAAAGCTTTCTGGATATCCATCAGTAGCCCATGAAGGCTCGTGCCATGGAAATACGACTGCTCCAAGGCTGTAGCAAGTTCATACCAAATGGCTTTGGCCTGACGGGCCGGCACACCACCCTGGACACTGTCGGGCAGGACTTTGGCTATGCATCGCAAGGCTTCACGGGCACGCTCCGAAGACCAAACCCGGTACAGAAGACTGTAAACCACCACAGGACGGAATTCATCAACCTTGGCTGCATCAGGTCGTTTAGCTAAACTGGAAACAAAGCCATTGGCAAGTTGAGCTGGCCAAGAAGACCCAGATTCGACAGCACCAAACATACTGACTACAGCTTGCAAGGCATCCTCGGGAAGTGCAGCTAAGTCTGGTTGGGAAACTCCATCTGGCCCTTTGGCCGCTGATCGTTTCTTATGGCGAATGGCCTGCATCAGCCGATCAGAAGTCCACTCAAAATGGTCCCAGTGCAAAGGGCGGAGGGTTTTGTCCAAGAAGCCACAGATTTGGTCCCATTGACCAGGCAAAACATGGGCTTGCTTAGTCCATCGTGGCGCCCATGCATCGGCAAACCGTTGCAGAATGTCCAAATCAGAGGTGACCGGACGTTCTTGAGTAAGGACATCACCTGGGGAAAGACCAGCCACAGATTCAAGCCAGATTTGATCCTCAGAGTGGGCCACAACTTCAACAACCTGGCCTTGGATAACCACCGGGACATCGGCCAACAAAGGAGAGGGCTGCACCAGCACAACCGACTGGTCCTCTTCACGGACTTCTTCAACAGAGAGGGCAACCCGATCAAGAAGGGTCTCAGCTTTGGGCAGGGGGTCATCTTTGCAGTCCTGAAAGACAAAAGCAAGATTATGTTCCCGCCTGGCTTTGGCATGTTGGTATCGGCGACTGGTCAAGTCACGCTCATAAGCCCGCACGTACGCCTGAAAACCCTGAAAGAGGCCCTGGGCAAAGTCCAAAGAAGGGCACATCAAAGGCAAGGGGCCACCCAACGCAGGTTTCAAGTCATGAGCATCCCACCAAAGTCCAAATCCACCCGGGAAGCCCGCAGCACAGCGTATGGCACGCCAAGTATCATCAAGGTTGCACTTCCCCTGAAAACTGGAAACCCCTTTGACCAAGATGCGACAGAGAGACTGGAGTCTCCGAAGCTGGCGGAAAAAACGGGCATGTTGTAGGCTAGTGCCAATGTAGGCAGGCTGAAGGTCACCTTGGCGGGCTTTCTTCACTGCACATTGCGATTGCCTCACAGGTTTCGAATCCAAAACTGCCGCTCTTCCACATTGAGCTTTGGTCACAAAGACCCCATGATGTTGATTCCACAACTTGGCTCGCAACTCAACCTGTGCCCAAAATTTTGCATATTCAACTGTAAACAGTTGTGTGCATGTTGGGGCAAGAAAAGGAGGCTTGGACAGCGGCATGGTCAGCCCAATAGTCAAAGACAACCCGGGCACCCAAAAAGGCAAGTTGCAACTCAGGCGAAATCCACATCTGGTCAATCCTCTTGGTACCTCGTCCAGTGGCCTGAGCAGAGATTCCAAAACGCCAGGCATTAAGATCTTGCACCTCACGAAAGCCTAAGTCATGGAGCCTTTGCAGCTGTTGGAGTTCCTCAGGTGCAAAATTAAAGTCCCCACCGATGACCCGAGGACCAGTTGCTTGAGCACCAACCCGGTCGACCAATTCAGCTAAGAGGGCATCTGTTTGATGCCGGGCTTGCTTGTGAGCAGCATTACCTGGCAAACCATAGAGCATCCCAACTGTTACCCAAACCTCATTGACCGCCATACCAACCACCTGAATGCGTGACGTTGCATAGGAATCAGGATCAAAGGCATGTGGCAAAGCCCTGGCAGGGAACTAATTGGAAGCATACAAAACGCCAGAATGGATTCCTGTGTCAGTGCCCGGGCGGGCAGGGCAAGGAGCACCTGGGACAACATACTTCCATGGGCTGTGAAGCATCTTAAGACCTTTGGCCAGTCCTGACATTCCTTTCTGGGATAGGTGCGTTTCCGCAAAAATCCAGGCACCCCCATCCAAGTGATGAAGTTGATCAAGCTTCCCATTCAAGCCAGAAGGGTTGGTTGTGCCCAAAGACCACGTAGCAGGTACTGACCCTGGGCCGGGGTGCGAGGCTTCGCCGACACGCAACAAACCAACAAGTGCCAAAGCGAAAAACCACTGCCTGAAACAAACCCTCGGATTGAAAAGGGGGCTCCCAGCCCTCTTTCTGGCAGTAGGCAAAGTCCAAAATTGTTTGTTCTGCAGGTCATCCAAGGGCTGCTGCGCACAAAGGATTTGACCACACGCAAAAGAACGGGCACACATAGCAAGAACCACCAAGGCTAAGGTTCTGAAACCATGCGGAAAAACCCGAAGTGAAACCCAAAACTGGCCACAGAAACGGGCACCATCAGAAACCACAGACGTCACGCTCATCATCATACTCTGAAGAAAGTGAGGCACCAATGTCACCACGCTGCACCAATGCAAGACATCGGACAAAGGCCAAACCACCAAGGTAACCCCGAGGCCAAGCGCAACTAGTCGCCAAGTGACATGACCCCTGCCAGTGCTGAACGCTGAGACAGTCGACCTCACCAAGGATTCGCAAGCACCAAAAGAGAGTACTGCACCCAGAATCCGACAGGCACATACAAGACACCAAACCCAACAACCACATTGAGAGAGGCCGGCAATCCAAGAGGCCACAGGCCAAGAAAGTCCAGCGCGGCCAATTTGATCAAAACACCCTGAGAAGATCGTGAAGATCATGGTCAGCTGCTCGAGGCAAAACAACGAGAGACCCCGTGGACCCAGTGGACCCCAAGGCAAACATTCCAGCCAACGACAGCAAAAGAGAAAGCCCTCCAGGATACGGGGAAATCCAAATCCCACCGGGTCAGGGTGTTCCTGTGAACATGGATGCAAAGATGCATGGGAAGGTTTCCAACACCAAGAAGTCATGCAGACCAACAAGCACACCAATCCAAAAAGGAAATGGCTACCAACCGTAGCTTCCCAATCACCCGTGGTAACCGGCCAGGCAACTGGGCACCTTCACTCTTGGCGGGGCCGCTTGGAGAGCAATGATTCAAACTGCGTCATCTGCTTGTTGAACATGCTATCCAACATGGATTGTTGGTGCGAAACCTGCTGTCGGAACTGCTCTTGGAAGGCATCTTGGAACGTTTGAATCGTGTGAGCCTGGGTGGCCACCGCTTGCTCAAATTGCTGGTCCTGCTGATGAACCTGGGTACGGAGATCTTGGAAGTTGGCGGCGGTATCTTGGGCATTCTGCAAAGTAGTCTTGGCCAAACTCTGTGCTTGGTTCTGCAGGTCTTGAACTTGAGACTCCAGCTGAGAGACTCGGCGATCCACATTGACGTCATCATCAACCTCCATTCCTGGCTTCGGCAGCTGGGCAAGGACCTCGGCCACGACCTTTTGGGTCATATCTTCCAGTGGGTTCCCAATTTGGAAAGTTTGGGGCTTCTGTGGCAGTTTGCTTGCAGCCTTGGCCCAGGGATCGTGTTTCTGGATGGTCAACCTCACATGCTTTGGACACAAAGGATTCCGTGGCAGACGTGGCAACAACCTTTGGTTCAGTACGCGCCGGCTGGCTCGTATCATCTTCTCTGGCAAACATGACATCACCATGGGCCATTCTCAGGACCTTAACCGGGGGGTCATCCACAGACTGCACCCGGAACATAAGCCCTTGGACATGAGACTTGGCTGGAACAGCTTGGACTGGTTTGGCCGTCCATCCTGCGGACTGCAGTGCCTTGGCAACAGAGGCTTGCAGGGTTCCAAATGGAAAAGGTCCCACCAAAAAGGTCTGCCTCTTTCCCGGAGGAAGGAACGTATGGCCCGGCTTCAGCTTTGCAAAGACTTCAGCAGCATGCTCAGTACGGCACCTCAGTCCAACTTTGGCTCCTAGTCTTGCCATGCCCACCACATTGGGGATGGTCTGGCGTTGCAGCAACAACTGGGAAGCATCCAACTTGGGGATCCACACCACCTGAAAGTCAGGTGAGGGCTTTCTGCCATCCAGGGCTTTCGGCTCAAGGTAAACCCCACTATGCCCTGAGAAGTGCTGCACCTGGAGTTGAAGGTGCTCCGGCAGGCGGATGTGGGCCGTAAACATGTCAGCTTTTTCTGGTGGGCAATGAGAAAAGTCCATACGCAACCACTGCTTGCCCCAGAGTTCAAGCACCGGAGAGTCCATAGGTGCTTGGGGCGATTTGTGCCACGCTTCACATCCTGGGCATTCTGGGTCCCCACACGCTTGCATTGGCGGGATCTTCTCAAAGATGTGCTGCAGTGGGTGAGCAACAACAGTCTGCCAATCCTCACCCGTTTCATCACGGAACACCATAGCCTTCACCACGCATGTTGGAATGGAAAGAACTTCACATCCCTGCTGAACTGGAGCCCTTTGAACCCGGATTACACCAAGTTGGAAAAGAAGGCCATCAACAAGCAAAGGCTCACCATTAGCAGCACAGACCAACGGGACACGCTCAGCAGTGACCGGGAATGAGGTAGGCAAAGGGCCCTCAGCATCAACCACAAAGAAAGCCAATGGACCAGTGGACAGAGGGTTGGGTGCTTTAAGATAGGGCTCGACACAAGCTGCTGACACCACAGCAACCCCGGCAGCATTTGGCCCAATTTGGGGCAATGGAAGTTGGCTCAATCCTTGGCCATTGTCGCTCTGAAAAATTCCATGTTCAAGCCGCAAAAGGGATGGGTCAACACTGGCACCAGGAGGGACACCCTTGCCTTTGCCTTTGGCCTGCTTGTGCTTCTTATGGCCAATTGGCCTGTCAGCCTGGCGTTTGGAAACCTGCATCTGGAGCTCAGAAGGCTTGATCAGCATATACGGCGGCCGCAGTTGGTTGGCCAACCATTTGAGTTCCCTCCAGGGATTGGCTGCATCAAGAGCCCTTGAAACCCCTTCTTCACCAAGTGCCTTCAGGACAGCAGAAGCACGCTGTGCAGATTCAACTTCAGAGACACCATGCTGAGTCAAGAGCACAGCCAGACGGTTGGACAACGAAAGACCAAGACCAGCCAGACGTGGACGTTGACATGGATCAGGAAGCCCATCACCAAACTCAAAGCGGATCTTGTGGGCAAACTCCTCCAGGGCAAGTGGATCAGCGACCATGTTGTGTCCCCACAAAAGGTGTCGCACAAAACTCAAACACAAGGCCCCACAATGGCCAGCAGGGAGAAATCCAATACTATGGGCTTTCCAGACCCCCTGGGCACCACCCCGCACAAGTCCAATAACTCGACTCAATCCGTCCAAGGTGGATTCAAAGTCCGGGGACACCGAGAGAGAATGCAGAACAACCCCCACCATATCAACCCTCCAAACCAGTGGAATCCAGTGATTTCCAAGGAGCACCGCAGAGATGACCGTGGCAACAGGACCCAACACAGAGACAAGTTCTTTCCAGGTGGCAGGCTGGTCATGTTGCACCAATCCAGTAACAAGCAATGGATCCCAAACATGAACCCTTTGATCCGATTCCGTGAGAACTGCAACTTGCAAAAGTCCATGCATGATCTCGTCATCTCCCCACACTGGTCCCTGCATCCCCAATAAGTCCTGCCTGGCAAGTCGAAACATGTCAGGGTATCTCAAGTCAGCCAATTGCTCAGTTGTAACAACCGGTTGTGTGGTAGGCGAAGAACCTGGGTCCATTGCTTGGTGCAGGAACTCAGCAGAGTCAAGGCAACAAGGCAGGTGAGGCTGCGCCCTCAACTGGTCAGGAGTCCAACTGGCAGGGACAATGGCAACAAGTGAACCACCTGGAATAGGCAGGTTCGGATCAACCGCAAGTCCATCAATGCGAACCAAACAGTCATCGACCAAAAGCCCAAGATTGGCCTCAGCTTGCAACAACTGGGACCCAGTGGTACCGGGGGACAGGCCAGTTGCAACATCAGGTTCATCAGTCAACGGACGGGTGACAACACATGTCATGCTTGCATCTTCAATGGGGTCGTCAACATCAGTAGGTTCCACAGCCGTGGGAGCAACTGGCAGGGGCCACATGGTGCAGCAGCACGCTACAACCTCATGCATGTAGGTTTGCAAGACTTTCGAAGGTTCACATGGGTTTGGCAATTCAGGCGTCAAGTCCAAGCATCGTTTCACTTGGGCAAAAATCCAAAGCCCCATGATGGGTGCCACTGCTTGACCAACTCCAGACATGGCAAGGCGCAAATTGTGGCCCATGGATATGTTTGGCATGCCTCCCATGAGTGCCCACATTTCAATGGGGTGGAGGTATCGTGCATGCTCCATGCAAACATGCATGTGTACCTGTGACGTGCCCAACTTCAGCAAAGTGCCGATCAGGCCTCGTTGGCTCAGGCGCTTGTCACTCAAGGCAGCTCTGCAACCACATGCACACGTGTACAGTTGATTGCCAGCACTATGCAACAAGGTCGGCAGCTTCTCATGTGGTTTCAACCAAATCGCTTCCATGCCCCCAGCTGCAAACTGGTAGTACTTCGACAGTTCATACAAGTTCAGCACCAGCTGGTTCTGGTCATACTGATGCCAAAGCTGGAACTCAGGGATCAAGTCAGCAACAACCCTAATGTCGGAGTCCATGGGGAGGTCAAGCAACTCACAAGGAGACACAACCGGGGCAGTAAGCACAGCAATCCAACGATCACGTCGAGTGCACCAGACATTCCCAAGCTTGACAATGGCCTGGCTGACACGAAATCCAGTGTCCACTGCAAATTGGCGAATGATCTCCTGAGCAGCAGCGTCTCTCAAGATCTCAGGAGTACACTCGAGGATCAGTGCAGCCGATTGGAGAAGCCAACCAATCAAGAGCGACTTGGGTAGGGAGGCAGACCTGGGATCCTCCATGCCTCGACGATCCCCCAAAACCGAATGGGGCTGACAGGCAATTCCAGCACAGACAACGGCATGAAAAAGATCCTGCTGCATCAACTTTTGGACAACCGAGGGGTCCGCAAGGTCACCACAGACAAACGTTGCCCCAGGATGCAAAGTGCCAAAAAGGGACTGCCAAATGCCATTCTGATCAACCCCAGCCTGCACACTAAATCCAAGACGACTGGCAGTAGAGGAAAATCCACCCATGCCACAACACAAGTCCACCACACGGGAAAGAGCATCCGGACTGCACAGCGACACAGGGACCAAAACAGACTGAGAGTCCACAGCAAGACAGATGGGCTGTACCGATGTCACCAGTAGTTCGACCCCTGCTACAACTGGAGCTTCAGGAATTACCCCACTGATCCAAACCTTCATGCCCCGTCTATCAGATGACTGCACCAAATGCCAACTTCCTTTGGAATTGAAGCAAATGAGGGTGAACACCATAGGGATCCTTTGTCCAGCTATTAATGTTCCCCAACCAGGCAGCATGCGGTGAAACAAAAACCGGCGACACAAACTCAGGGGTTCTGCTAGGACAGCCTCACTTCTGGAAAGGCCCTGATCCGAGGCTCTTGAAAAATATTAGTCAATGGGAAGGATTATCCCATATATGAAATGGAAAATAAAAAATGTTTGAAACCACCAACCAGATAAGAAAACACCTTCAACGTCCCAGTTACCCATGTTTGATAGGCCACAGGCCCCTGGACTCTCGCAGCTTCCAACAAGGGAACTTGAGGCAGGACAGGTCACAGTCTGGCGCATCACTAGGTGGAGAGTGTTCCCTTCTGTCAATTTATAATCCTGAACCTTCTCCTGGTCATTCAGCTGTTTCCCTTGGAAGATCAAACCTGGTGGCTGGAAAAAACGGAAAAAAGTCAACAAAACATATGTTCATCGATTGCGATGATCTCTGATAATTTTCTGGAATTCAAAATAACGAAAACAAAAAATACGGTAAAGTAGTACAAACCCTCAGCCACTTTGGGCTGGATGTCCTCCCTTTAGGCTGGTAGGATGTCACTAATAAAAACACCCAGAAGCGTTGTCGATCAGCTGGCCAGCCCTCCTTGCTTTGTATGTTCAGTTTGACGTTTGCCTGGTTGGTGATTTCAACCCCTCTGAAAAATGATGGAGTTCGTCAGTTGGGATTATCATTCCCAATATATCCCATAGGATCCATGTATGCTATATATGCTAACGATTATCATTCCCAATACCCTCTGGTAATTTAACATAACTATGGAAAATCACCATTTTTAATGGGAAAACTCACTATAAATCCAGAGGGTATATGGAAAAAAAATCCAAACCACCAACCAGCTGCGATCGTTTCTGAAGGACAGATGTGCACGGAAAAGCTCTTGCCGGTCAATGTTTTCACCGTGACTTCCATCGAGACTTTCTTCACCAGGAGTAGAGGACCCTGGCCGTGGCCGGACCGTGGCCCCAATTGGGCCCGGTGGGATTTTTGGGCAACGACATTGCCACATGAAACCATTTAAGAAACCTTCAAACTGCTGCGAGTTTGTTGAAATATGGATGTTCTCTAACTTGTGACATCCAAATTTAGCAGCCTAACCCAGAACCAACTCCTGGTCCCCAAGATCTCGGCGTTGTGGCGGGTGCGATTTGGTTGCACCGCAAAAATGGCTATGAGTCAAAACTCTGGGACCCTAGGTAACTTCAAAAAGCTGGCTAACTATGGTAACAATGGATTTTCACCCATCCCCACATCTCAAAACGTAATGAAACATAGTCGGACATAGTTTTGAACAAAAACAGCGAAGAAACAAGTCTCATGATCAACTTGAAATAGCATGAGAGATAGTTTGCAACCAGGTGTATTGTTTCTATGCTGCGCTGCGACCAAGAACATCAACCCCCCGAAGGTTGAAAAATGTTTAGCTCCCCAAATTGGGCAGCTTTCAGTTGTGGGATGTTGTGGGTCAAACGCCAAACGTGGCTATTGGTAAAGCAGTAAACCACTTGAGCTAACGAAGAGAATCGCGTCATATCAAGTCTCAGATTCCCGACTCGTGCCTCAAGACTGCTGAGTTCATTTCTGAATGAGACCCCGAAATTGACGACTCTGACTGCTGACCATTCAAAAAACTGATGAGTAATGTAAATTACTATAAAGATCTATAAAGTTTACAAGACATATAAATCCTCATGGGAGCGGATTTTTTTTTTGACAACTTATACACAGTTTCATACAGTTAATTTACCGTCAGCCAATCCTCAGCAATCTCCAGTGCCTTGAAGTCGCACTCAGCAATGGTACGGTCATTGTCGATCTTTTTACCTGCAGCGGATGGGCCATGACGGGAGACGTGTACTTGGGCATACCACCTACTGTGGTTGACAACCTGTTGCATAGAGATCATTGTGTTTTTGAAGTATATTTGATATCTGATACTGTATAGCTGGGGTTCCTACGCGTGGTATCTATTACATATACATTATATATATATTTTTAAATAAAATGTTGCGTAACTAAGGCCTACACAAACCAGCAACAACAACAACAACAACAACAACAAAAAACAAAAAACAACAACAACAACAAACAACAACAACAACAACAACAACAACAACAACAACAACAACAACAACAACAACAACAACAACAACAACAACAACAATCACAATCACAATCACAACCACAACCACAACCACAACCACCACAACAACAACGACAACGACAGCTATATCGACAACGACAGCTATATCGACAACGACAACGACAGCGACGACGACGACGACGAGGTACGGACCTCACATTCGACCCTACCGCAGCCTCACATTCGACCCTACCCCAAAATAACGTCATGCAGCCTCACATTCGACCCTACCCTAACAAAAATACGCAACCCTTCCAGGAAAAAAGGCAACTTTTTCCGGTTCACATTTGACCCTACCCCACTTTAACCCGCCTCAAACCAGAAAAATTACATTCATTGCTATCAAATCAACCAGCCCCCCTTGCACAACTACATTCATTGGTATCAAATCAACCAGCCCCCCTTGAACCATTACATTCATTGGTATCAAATCAACCAGCCCCCCTTGAAACATTACATTCATTGGTATCAAATCAACCAGCCCCCCTGGCACAATTACATTCATTGCTATCAAATCAACCAGCCCCCCTGGCACAATTACATTCATTGCTATCAAATCAACCAGCCCCCCTTGCACAACTACATTCATTGGTATCAAATCAACCAGCTCCCCTTGAACCATTACATTCATTGGTATCAAATCAACCAGCCCCCCTTGAACCATTACATTCATTGGTATCAAATCAACCAGCCCCCCTTGAACAATTACATTCATTGCTATCAAATCAACCAGCCCCCCCTTGAATAATTCCATTCACTGGTATCAAATCAACCAGCCCCCCTGGCACAATTAGATTCATTGGTATCAAATCAACCAGCCCCCCTTGAACCATTACATTCATTGCTATCAAATCAACCAGCCCCCCTTGAACAATTACATTCATTGTCATCATCATCATCATCATCATCATCACGATCATCCATCATCATCAAAGTCGTCACCATCATCATCATCATCACCATCATCACCATCATCATGATCATCATCATCATCATCACCATCCTCATGATCGTCCATCGTCATCATCATCATCATCATCATATCCGGAACCCTCTTTTCGCAGCTAAAAACGCTACTTTCTCACATTCGACCCTACCCCAAAAGGGGGGTAGGGTCATATGCGAAACCATTGGGGTAGGGTCAAATGCGAGGCGCGTACCCGACGACGACGACGACGACGACGACAACAAAAAAAACCTTCCGCCTGCATAGACAAGGATTTGCTTGTCCTTGGGCATGCCGTGCTGTTCTTCGATAAGCTCTTTGAGCCTTTCCAAAGTGTCATTTGGATTCCTTGGTCAAAGCCCAAAACCACAAGCGGACCGGCCGTGGTGGGTATGGGGCACACTTGTCGAACATTTTACACAAATCTATTGGGACCTCAAAGAGCCTGGGTTTGTTTCCATGAAGCTGTTCCTTTTAGAATCCTCAGATGGTGCTACCCCACTCTGATAGACCTCAGATGGTATCCCTTCATATGGGTCTACATCGCCCTTTGGCGAGGTTGACCACCTCGCAAACATTACTAGAATTGACTATTGTACCATATGGAAGTAGATCATTATTTCTGAACAGGAACTCTAATATGGGGTTTTCCAGCCATTCCGGGCATCTTAGATATCTTAGTGACTTTACTCATCCCTAGAGCCGGAAAGTCATCCCAGAGTCTTAAAAACCAGGGCAGTTTGGCACCTCCAAAGGGTATTTATACTGGTTGGTGGTTGACCTACCCCTCTGAAAAATATGAGTTCGTCAGTTGGGATGATAACATTCCCAATATAGGGAAAAATAAAAAATGTTCCAAACCACCAACCAGTTATGTATTGGATCCATTTTTAAGCTAAAACTATTCTATATAACTATATATACCTATTCTATTCAACCACACACCCCCTTGAGGGGGTTTCCATATATTTCCATCCAGGCGACATGGTCACCTCAAAAATGTGGCCGGAGGTGTTCTTGATCTGCAAGGTCTGTGCTGGAGCTTTGGATTTGATCACCAACCTCGACACGTCGAGAAAGACCTCTTGAGGTCAAACACATGTTTTCTTTTGCCCGGAAAAACAGGGTGGTTTTGCAACAGAAGAATTGGGATCTAACTGTTGATTTGTGGATATTTCTGGTTGAGCCACAGCCTGAAAAGCATGATCTGTGGAAGTCATTAGGGATCATTCCATTTCTAAGGCTGAAAAAAATATGATCTATATATTATTGTCATGATTTGAGACCACCAGCCTGGCTTGGTATCGAAGCATAATCATATATTAACTTTGGGTTACCTGCCCATCAACGCTGGATAGCAGAGCTTTTGTTAGGGGGGCCAAAAGATATGACCTATAATCGATTTTAATGGTGGCAACTGTTCGTGGGTGGGGAGAATATTCCATATTATTATATATATAAATATAAGATTATATAAGTATATAAGGACTTTTTTGGGCGACAATCTTTTGAGACATTCCCAGGTGAATCATGAAACTAGCTGCATGTCCCCCAAAGGAAGTACAAAAGAAGAGATTGAGAAAGTTCGGATCTGGTGACAAGGAAGGAGAACTGAGGCTTTATGTACCGTAGTACCGCAACCAAATGCGTTTCCACTTATGTTGTCTTTGACCATTGACACCAGTCTACTTTCAGAATGGGAATTGGCAATAGCCTCTGGTAAACGTTTACAACAAACTATGGAAAATCACCATTTCAATGGGTAAATCCACTATTTCTATAGGCCATTTTCAATAGCTATTATGTTAGTCATTACCAGAGGGTAACAATCCCTAATCAATTTTGGAGCACTTCACCAACAACAGCAACAGCAGCACCACCACAAGTCCTTGATGGGGATGGAACCCCAGGTAGGTAGTAGGGAGTCTGAAGACTGCAATACCTAGCCATATGCTCCATGGGATATTTATCAACATTCAATCATTCAACCCAAAAATCACCCACATGTAGGGTATACATGGGTATACATTATACCATACATGGAGCATATGGGCTATATCGAATAACAACCAGCAACAATATGAAGGCCCCTCATCGAACAACATCCCCCAACCTGGCAGTTAAATCTCTTATCCAAAGTGACTGCACGACAATCTTCGAGTCGCACAGCACTTCGAAGGGTTTGGCATCATCCTGTAGAACGTGGTTCTGAAAAACCAAGGTCTGGTCTGCCTGCAGGATTTGACCGTGGCTATCCATGGCTGCCAAAAAGGAACCCAAGCTGATTGAATGGAAAGTCATAAAATTCCATGGTTCCAAACATTTCCAAATCACCAAGCAGTAAAGGAACATCAACTTAATCGAACCAGAGGGTAACCAGCCTGATGTGATGATCCCCCCCAAAGATGATACGCAAGCTCTGAATCTCAAGGCCATCAGGGCTCTACAATTTCGACTTTCCGTGATGCCCCCCTGATTTATTTCCCTTCCACAAGCAGAACTCCAGCCTCTGAGATACCTTGAGAGTTGCGGATCCTCTCTTTCCTTCAAGGCGGCTGAACATACATTCACTACATCTGAGAGATCCATGGCAATCCATGGCAATCCTGACTATTGAACCATCAATTTTGATGCATTGATAGACACAGCACAATCCTGCAGATCCTGCAGCCTGTGACACAGCACTGTTGACATCATGTTGAACTCAACCAAGTTCACAATAGATCAACCGTTGGGTGTAGCAGATTTTGCGTTTTTCAAGCATCGGTTCACAAGTGCAGAACCATGGGTGCCGAACCACTTATAAATGGGTTATAATCCCATTAACTATAGATATATCATGATATATCACCTATAAACCATAGCTGGTTGGTGGTGCAATAACGATCTTGAAAAATATGAGTTCGTCAATGGGGTTGGGATGACATCCCATATATGAAACTGAAAAGAAACTGTTTGAAACCACCAACCAGACAGTATATCCCGGCCACAGAACAACAATCAAGCGGAACAGTCGCAATTGGCTGGTGCGTGGCTTCAACTGCCCAACACACTAGCAGAGGATGGAGAAATACCAACGACCAGTGTGGACGTGTCCCAAAGATTCCCAAAGTGGGTACGCAAAGGGGTTGACCATGATTTCCCCTCGAGTAAAGCAACAAACTAGTCTGGTTGGTGGTTGACCTACCCCTCTGAAAAATATGAAAGTCAGTTAAGATTATTATTCCCAATATATAAAAATATAATTATATATATAATTATTATATATATATGGAAAAATACAAAATGTTCCAAACCACCAACCACTAGTGGATTGTTGACACAAAATTCATCAACCAAGGATCAAGTCTGCGGTGGTGTCTGTAGACAAAGCACTGATGTGAGTAGTTTCACCGGAGAGCTTCTGGACCTCTATACCTCACAAGTCAACGAATTCGGTTTGTCAGCCACGGATTTGGAAACCTATATCTAGTACCAAATGTTCCCTCAATTTCATGGAATTGTTCAATATTGTTCATATGTTGTCCACATTTGTTTCCATATTTTCCCCAAAAAAACACCTATCCTCTGACAGTCTTGGAACGCTTCAACCCAGCAAAAACTGGCTACTCCTGGCTCTGAAACCCATGGTGACGACTCGGACCATGACTTTTTCGAACCCCCCAATCAGAAAAAAGGGCCAAAAAGCCCCAAAAAGCCATATATTTTGATAGTGATAATGACATGAGAATCTATTGGTAGCCGGGTAGCCGCCTATTTTCGAACAAACCCATTGTCAGATATGACAAGATAGTGAATTCGGGAATCAAACGAAACTTGCTGTTTCTTAAATTTAATCCAGATTGAAGTTTTGGATTATCACACATCATCATCCGATCCCAGCTTTAATTGATGTATTTAAGCAACAACTTTCATTCAATGAAGTCCCCCCCTTGCCTTGCTTACACACAGCCGAGTGATCCGAGGGGCAGAGCGATCGTTGAGATCGTTGGGGCTCCCGTTGCTCCCGTTGGGGCTCCAGTTCCAGGGTACACTCACTATGAATGTCATAGAAGGAGAGCGCACAGTCGTCCAGCAACTGCTTCCTCGGCCAACTCACCCTCCAAGTCTACTTAGATCGATAGCAGATTGGAAGCTGAGATGTTTTGAGCCCAGGTTTTTCGAATTTGTCTGATGCTTAGGGCCAAACACATCCAAAAACCCAGTTCTTCATGTTTATCAAGTTACACCAGTGCCTCAGTGCTTCATCCCAGTCTATCAGCTTAGTCATCTTCCACAATGGCAATGGGGAAATGAATGCCTTTGACCAAGCCGCCCTGCAAAGTACAGGAGCTGCTGTTCGGGAGGGATGCCTTCTTTCTCCCAAATCTGTTTCTTGACGCTCGCCACCAAATCACCAGCTTCGACTTCCAAAACTGGACGTTTTCCAGTATAAGTCTTGATGAAAATCTGCATCACCCAGGAAATTCCAAGAACATCATCGAATTCAATCTCATTTGTGAGACGCTCTTGAGCCACGCATCCAACAAAGGACAAAGGTGCAGGACTCAGGGATAAATGACATGGCATCTTATGTCCATATGTGCCATGGTGAAAAGTTGGATTGTGTACTAGCCATATTGTTGGATAGTCATCAATTCATGTTCATAGGATTTAATAGGTATTTAATGGTATTTATGTACACAATCATTGTAAGGAGTCTAATTATGGGATGAATGGCCATAAACCATATGCTATGTTTTGATCATGGCACACACACACACACGGATTCACAAACACACCAAACAAAACAAATGAATGAACACGTGGCATGAGACCATGAAGATAGCGGATCAGATTGTAGTCATACTATGTCACAACATCAACAACAGAAACACAAACAACGCCAACCACAAATTAGCATCCAAACTGGCCACAAATACCAACAAAGTGAAGCGTCCACTGATAATAAATCAAAACTGAGTTGTTCGCAATTTGTTAAAAAGACCAGTACAAGTACACTCCAAAAGAACATTAAACAACACATAAATGTACGTATATAAAAATACATATATATATATATATTCAACACACACACATATATATATATACACATTCAACACACACCTATATATATACGTATATATATGTATATATATGTATATATATGTATATATATGTATATATAATATATATATATACATAAATCCTAGATCATCATGAAATCTCGGCCCAAAGTGCATCGTAACTGGACTCCGGCATCACCGGTACCGGGTACCCGATTAGCCCTATGCGTACCATGTCCAATGTGCCACTGCGACAGGCCGCATGGAGGGCTGTGGTATTCGTGGGAGGCATCGCCTGATTCACTGAAAATGGGGGCCAGAAGGAGTCTGGTTGAGGATGGTTAAGCTTGGCTGAGGTTGGCTGATGGTGAAGAAAATGTTTGTGGATAGTGAAAATGGTGATGGCTAAGGATGGTCAAGTGACCTTTACCGGCCCCCTTTCATCTAATGAGAAAAAACCACTCAGACTGGCAGACCAATCGAATCAAGAGGCCATAAACAGAAAACAAAACCGACAGCTCAAGCCTCATCTCCCCGTCGCGTTTTGTTATGGTTCTTTGAAGGAGGCATCATGGGTCAACAGTGTCAAGAACATGTTAATCATCACAAACATGGTTGACACATGTTGACACTGTTAATATCACTGTTAACAAACAACCTTTATGTGAATGCAAATGTGATGATTATCAACCTTTGCCATGTTCTGTGATTTTACATGACATTGTCATATCATTTGCAAAGTTAGATCATACATGTTCATACTGTCTACATAGTCTACATCATCGCATGCTTAAGCAATTAAGGCACGTGACTCCGGTTTCCCAGGGTATGGCCAAAAAATGCCAAAAACCTATGGGGAGGCCCATGTTTTGATAAAATTGGTACATAACCAGCTACAGGAGAACTTAACATAATATAACAACTATCTGGGTAAATTATAATATTTCACTAACCTGAATTGTTGGGCCATTTTGGGATGATTCCCCTTATAAAAACCCATGATTCCAGGCTTCGGTCGCGACGTGAGGTCGTGATCAAATTTACCCAGAACTAACTATAGACTGAACATGTCTGAAATGGTCTCTTCAGACAACGCCGTCGTAGTCGTGGACCTTTTCTCACCCACATCGAAATGGTCTGAGGACCCGTCCAGCTCTGGCTGTGCATGCCTCAGGCCGAATTTCAGGGGAATGATTTCGGATCTCCCTGACGAATCATGATTCCAGTGAGGGAGAACAGTGAGGTCGCGAATTTTTACCCAGATAATAGATTTATATAATGATATATAAAGATACATAATATAATATTATACAATTATGTTTATATAATATAAAGATACATAATATACAATTAATGCATGTGTGCAGCATTTGATGCAATATACCACAATGCAAATAATGGTCATTGCATTCGCCAGTTTTGCTAGATTCCCCAAAACTGTTTCGCCCCTGGATGTCCGCTATCTAGTGTTGTTGGTTTGCATCAATGCCGGACAGTCCATTGTTTTAGTGGCAATTCAAAAAGTCAGACAACCAGGGCTCTGACTTAACCCCTGTCTGTGCTTCATCATCCAACCTTCCAGCTACGCTTAAATCTCACTGATACGCAAGGCTCACCACAGACTCACAGACCTATGGAAAAAACACAAAGTTTGTGTAAAAATGGGCGATTTCCTCACATTTTCCTTGTAGGATCCAATGGTGGTTCATGAGGGTTTCCATTGGTTTATACTATAGATTACATGAAGTGGCCCATATATTTATTCGGGATCCTCCATCTTTAGGCCCAATGCCAATTGCTGGCTCCTCAGAGTGGAACTCTGTCTCCGAGGAGAGAACCATCACCAGTTTTTGTTTCCACAAATGAGCTGCGCAAGAGAATTTCCCAGTATCTTTATATAGATATATGGATGTGTACTGTCTATCATCTGAAACTGGACACACTTGGACAAACCCACACAATGAGCCCGATGTTTGTTATCACTTTTGCCGGGATTCCTGCGGCATGTCCCACTGTGTCAAACGATCGGCAGGTGGATTATGTGGATCTCTGTGTCAACATGGGCTACACCTTACCCTCTGGTAATTTAACATAACTATGGAAAGATCCACCATTTTTCATGGGAAAATCCACTATGAATGGCCATTTTCAATAGCTATTTTGACATAACCAGAGGGTAGATGGTTGAAACCGACCCCGACTTCTTGGACGTTGTCAATGGGTTTGATTCCATTCTTCAGCGCTAAAAAAAACCATCCTGCCGATACCCTCTGGTAAACTAACATAGCTATTGAAAATGGTCTACTGCTGAAGGGCACACTCAAACCGGAACACTGCAGCCGTTTTCTGGCCACTGCGCTGTAGCTACGCGTTTCGTCCTCTGTGGGACTCGTTCAGGCCGCGCTTGTAGCCAAAAAGGGCTTTGAAACGTATGCCAAATGTCTAGCAAGCTCCAAAAAGCATGCGCAACACTTGGCAAAAACAGCATGGTTTGTGCGCTTAAAAAACCAGAACCCACCTCCCACCACATCTGGTTGCGCAAAGTGCAAAAAGCGGAAGTCAAAGTGGTTAGTGCCAATTCAAACTGAAATTTCTCCTGAAATTGTTGCATTGGATGCTATAGGAAAGAAAAACTTCTACACGAGAAGTGAACCTAGACTGCACAAGAGACGCGTGTTTTTCAAAACACGTTTTATGACTGAGACGTTCAAAGAAGAACTGTACTGCTGGCGGAAAAAGAACTTTCGTGGTTGCTGCTGACTGGCTGTCGAGCATTCTAGTTTCTTGACAGTTTGCATGGCAAGGCGTCGTGCCTCCTCTTTGCAGTAGCCTCTGTGTTGCAGTTTGTCAAAAAACAGGTCTAGGTGCTTGGCAAAAGCTTTGGCATTCTTCCGGTTTGTTCGGTGTAGCCTCTGCGTCTCACCAATCACCAAAGCTTTGAACACACTGGGTGGCTGACATGAAGTCCGTGGCAAGTACAAGTATGCGTTCTGCGGCTTTCGGAAAGTCTCAAAACAAATGGAACGATCTCCCATCTGCAGTGTCAAACTAAGATCCAGGAAATTCACTGCCATACCGGAACCGGACATCTCCCAAACGATGTTCGGATGCCAGATGTTGAGTTCTTGAAGACACTCGTCTTTTGAGTCCAGAGGAAATATTGCAAAAACATCATCTATGTAACGCTTCCACATGAAAATCCAGGAACATCTCTGAACAAGAAAATCGTCAAAAGCAGCAAGGTACAAGTTGGCAAACACGACGGAGGCTTGCAATCCAGTAGGTAGACCACTTTGTACATGCCATATGTCTGCTTCAAATTCGACATATTGTACGGCAAGCAGAAACTCAATGAGCTTGACTATCATGGCCCCAAAACTGGGCTTCGAACTCCAGAAAGACCTCACTTTGCTGGCTATGACACTGAGGAAATGCCGTTGGTCAATGCTGGGGTATAGATTCCGCACATCAAACGTGAACAAAGCAAAACCAGGAGGGACAACGCAATCCACAAGCTGTTTCACAAGATCTTGCGAAGACTGAATGACATGCAGCTGTCTTTGTAGCATAGGCGCCAGCGCTTCAGTGAGAAAAACTGACAAGGGGCTAAACCAAGCCTTGCTCAGGTTCATGATTGGCCTGCCTACCACTGGGGACTTGTGCAACTTCACTCTGAGTCGAAAACTGCCAACATTTTTGGAACCGAAATCCTTGCGGATGAACGCTGCTAGTCTGGTGGATATGGAACCCGCAAGCACTGATTGCTGCAAGAAACTATCCAGCAGGAATTTCAAATTGGCAGAGGAATCCAGGAAGTCTGGGCGGGAGACTTTGTACGAGGCTTCCTCCAGCAATCTCAAGCACTCTTGCCTAACCCAGTGCTTGGGCACAATTGCATCACCAAGGTTCTTGTCGCAATCCACTACGCTGATTTCACGTCGGTGTTGCCATAGCCATTTCCGAGCAGCTTTGTCAATGAAATCCTCATTTTTGACAAGTTCTCGAGGAGAATAGCTACTGAGTTCTTCTCGCAGCAGCCTGCCATATGCAGAAATGATTGGATCCTCTTTGGGCTTCCAAGCAGTTCGGAGACGGCAACGTCTGAAAAAGGTAGGTTCAAGTGCATGTCTGTCAAAAAACACTGCCGTATTCAAAGACCTTTCCAAAGCAGAAACGCTTGTCAAGACTTTAGCAGCTGAACTGGCACATCTGTCCGCCACAAACTTACCGCCCTTCGACAAATACGCAAGGACATACGTGGGGATCTCAAAATCTGGCGAAGTCAAAATATGAACTGGCATGCAAAAACGACGTTCAAGCTGTACAAGGGACATTTTTCTCAGTCTAAACTTGAGGTACATGTCAAAGTCGATGCTCCAATCATCCTTCCAAAAACTTCGCCTCCTAGGTCTGTGTGATAGTCAAGACCTGTTGTGTGGGGCTGGGGTCTTCATACGCACTTGCTTGTGACCGGTGCCCTTGGACTGCCCTTTGCCTCGGGTCTGCTTTCCTTTGCCCTTGCCCTTACCCTTGCCCTTGCTTTTGTTTCTGCTGGATGCCCTAGAAGCCCTCGAAGACTTGGCACTCTTCGCAGACTGGCGGGATCTGTGCGAACCAAGGCTGGACTGCCTACTCTTGATAGACGTTCTGGAGCCCGATCTGCCACGATCTTTGTCATTGGATCCCATGGGCTTGGACTTGGGCTTGGACACAGTTGAGCCGACCGAGATATTGTACTTCTTTGCCAAATCTGGATGCTGCTTGACAAAATAGGCCAGGGCACCAGTGGTTGGTACGACATGCTGTGACTTCTGTGTTCCGCTTTTTCCTGACAGAGTTGCAAATTCCAACACTGCCATGGCTAAAAGCTTATTGACGTCCATAATCCTGAACTCGGCTTCAGCTTTTGTAAGTTCATCCTTTCTCTTCTGTTTGGATTCCTTGTCCTTCTCCTGCTTGGACATGGCCTTCGGATGCTCTGTTCGGAAGACCAGTTCAGCAAACACCTTAAGTTGTTCTTGCAACCGAGTCTTGGCCTGCGCGCTCACCAAATTGCCATGCTTCTGCTGCCAACAAAGAAAACGATCTTCAAGAAAGATGAGTTGCTTTGTTGGGTGGACTTTTTCCTCAAAGAAAGCTGCGCACTGTCGCTGGTAAGCAAACACAAAGCTGTGGCATTCCTGAGCATGCCGGCGTCTCATCGCTCTGAATGCTGCCTCAATGTCGAACGGACCTGCAACGTCAGCTCTGTACATGTCCCTCTGACCTTCTTCAAGCAAAGCCGAAGTTGTGGTCAACTCCTGGGCGTTGGCTTTGAAAGCCTGAGGCCACTGCCAACTTCTGGTGCTTTCATCTTGGAACTGCTTGTGAAGTTCACCAGACACTGCAATGTCTTGATACTTCTGCTGCAAATTGGCTTGTGTGACATGCTGTTGCAGAGCATTGCGATAGTCACGGGCCCACTCCTTCAAAACAGGTTGGAGCGAAGGATCGAAAGTGCCGAGCATGTCTTCTGGATTGTTGTATGCCGTGGGTGTCTGTGTTTGCTGCCTGAGCACATCCATCTGTTGCTGTAGCAACTGGTTCTGCACCTGCTGTGACTGAACCAACTGCAACAAAAGTTGCTGGCTACTTGGCATGTTCTGTGCTTCTGCTGGAGCTGGCAATCCTGGAGGCGCTGGCAAGGCTGCATGAGCTGGGTGTGGATGACCTTCATTAGGCCGACTACGACTTCGAAGGGCCGCGGCTGAGATCATGGAATTAGCACGAGGTGCAGGACGCTCCATGGCGAATCTGCTGGTAGTTGCGAACACTCTACTGCTGAAGGGCACACTCAAACCGGAACACTGCAGCCGTTTTCTGGCCACTGCGCTGTAGCTACGCGTTTCGTCCTCTGTGGGACTCGTTCAGGCCGCGCTTGTAGCCAAAAAGGGCTTTGAAACGTATGCCAAATGTCTAGCAAGCTCCAAAAAGCATGCGCAACACTTGGCAAAAACAGCATGGTTTGTGCGCTTAAAAAACCAGTGGGATTTTCCATTAAAGTGGATTTTCCCATTAAAAATGGTGATTTTCCATAGCTATGTTAAATTACCAGAGGGTATCTCAAGCAAAATCAGCTGTCCCATAGGGTCACAAGTCCAATTTTTCCATCATCTGGATCGACTTTGATCCCAGTTGCACTAAAAAAAACAAGCCATACTCAGGTCTGCCAATGAAATGGGACTGAACAGGACTGAACTTTGCAGCTTGCCAATTTTCACGGCCCTTCGGAGATCGTGAAGGGAACATGTTTCACCAGATTTCCATGGCGTCATCGGTCATAAAAATATGAAGCTTTCATAGCCCATAGGATCCATGGTGCTGGTATATATGCTAACATTTGGGGTATATTGATGGTAAATGTTACCATATATATCCATATATACCAGCACCATGGATCCGTCATGGGTAGGGGTACCCTGAATCATCCATTGATCGATGGATTTTCCCTAAACCATCCAGCTGGCTATTGGAGTATCCCAGGCTGACTATGGCAACCTCAAGGGTCCCACCGTCCCACCGGTGATCGGTGACGGCTACGCAGAAAGACCGGGCGTTCGGACTCCTTTTGGATCAGAGACAGCGCTTCGTCCACTTCTCCGTACTGCGGTTTTTTCGCCGGCGCGAGGGACGGGGAAAAAGCGGAAGCACCAAATACCATCTGGTAATTAACATATAGCTATTGAACATGGCCGATTTATAGTTGATTTACCTATTAAAAATGGAGATTTTTCCATAGTTATGTGACAGTTTACTGGAGGGTAGCACCAAATAGCACCAATTAGCACCTGGAGAAGCCTCTCTGCTAAGGAAAGTGGCCAAGGATGGATCAGCTGGTCAAAGTACCTACGTCAAGATATAGGACTTGTTGGCTTACAATGAAGTTTGCGTCAACAATGTTATATACCCATGACGGATCCATGGTGCTGCTATATATGGTGTGCCATGGATCCCATCAATATACCCCAGTCATGTTAGCATTAATCTACCAGCACCATGGATCCGTCATGGGATATAATGTAAATCACCCATCTTGAGAGGCACCAGGATCTGGTCACCGGATTGACGACTCAGCACATCCCGAAAAAAACCCTGAAACTGTCGGATCGTTGGAGCATATCCCAAGAGCAGTTGGGTTTTCCATCCAGAAATTTTGTGAATCCGGAAGATTGGCATTCGAGTTAGAAAGAACAACACCTTACAGTTTGAAAACCAGAAAACACATTGGCAAAATAATTGCAATTGACAACAGGATCAACATTAGCTTAGCCGGTTGCATCCCAGTCCTAGTAACTCGTACACCCAGTGAACAAAGACTGTCCTGAGCCGCCCTCAGCAACAAGTCCTGGAGGGCAGCACGGGCAGCACAGGCAGCCACAATCTGGAGTCGTCCTTTGGAACATGAATATTGAATATAGGGGTTTCCTAAAATAGGGGTATAAATCATCATGTTTTAATCATTTTTATATGAATATGACTTTCCATTATAAACGATCCATTTTGGGGGTACCCTCATTTATGGAAACCCTTGTGATGAAACGTGAAATTCATTGACAACTGCAGAAGGAAAGAACAACACAACTAGAGAGCGCGACAAATACGGATGTGTCTGAAGCTATGAGAAAAAATGAACATAAATCAGCACTGGAACGGCAACCACTGATCCTCGCAACCAGAACTTGCTTTCAACAATGAACAGTTGACTCAGTTGCCACTATGCACTTTGACTGAGCCTTGCTGGATGTGTCTCTCAACATGAGCTGATATATAGCCGTCTTATTCGCTTGCTCGACAGGCTTAGACATCCGAAGGTCCATTCTACATGTTGCTGCCGTGACTTCCTCCTCATCTCTAGCAGTTCCAAATCATTCAAAGCCAAGTTCTTGCTTATGTAAAACCATGTCCTATTCAAAACCGAACCAGCTGTTCTTCATCAAAGCAAGCCATTGCTGACTTCCCTTTTCAGTGTCCCTTTTTTAGATTGAGGTGTCAATCTGAGAATGCTCATTCGATTAGGCACACCCGACAACATTTACCACAGTTTCAAGGCTCTGACAGACCGTGCCGGGCTGCTCACCAGGTCCCACTCTTCAAACTTCTTCTTTGTCGCCAAAGACACAGTTCAAATGGTTAGTAACATCAAACACAGATCACCATGCAAATTTATAAATATCAATTACCCTCCATGAAAAGATCTGAACAGTTTTTTGTTCCCCACATCTTTGTGTGGGGTTCTTGTTTTTGATTCTGTATCCCGGGCTCCTCCTTCTCCTCCTCCTCCTCCCGCCCTCCTCCTTCACTACACACAAACTTCACATACACAAACTTCACAGACAATAACTTCACACACACAAACTTAACATAACATACATAACACACACACACATAACTTCACACACACACAAACTTAACACAACTTGACACACACACATAACTTCACTCACACACACAAACTTAACCCTCCTCCACACACACTACACACAAACTTCACACACACAAACTTAACATAACATACATAACACACACACACATAACTTCACACACACACATAACTTCACACACACACAAACTTAACACAACTTGACACATACACACATAACTTCACACACACACACAAACTTAACACAACTTGACATACAGAAACTTAACACATACACACACTTAACATACAATAACTTCCTTAATAACATACAATAACTTCACATACACACACACATAACTTCACACACACAAACTTAACACAACTTGACACATACACACAACTTCACACACACACACACAAACTTAACACAACTTGACATACAGAAACTTAACACATACACACACTTAACATACAATAACTTCCTTAATAACATACAATAACTTCACATACACAAACTTAACACACACACACACACTCACACACACACACACAACCTCACATCCACCTTCGTTTCACGTTGCGTGGCAGGCGTGGCACAACCTCACATCCACCTTCGTTTCACGTGGCAGGCGTGGCACAAACTGACATCTGCCGTCGTTTTGCGTGGCAGGCGTGGGACAGATGGTACTGGGTGGCGCCCTTGGGCCGGGATTTGGCGCCTGGGGCGCCGTGGCACTTTGCGTGGCAGGCGTGGCACAACCTGACATCCACCTTCGTTTCACGTGGCAGGCGTGGCACAAACTCACATCTACCTTCGTTTCACGTGGCAGGCGTGGCACTCATGGCACTGGGTGGCGCGCTTGGACTGGCTTGGGCGCCTGTGACGCCGCGGCACTTTGCGTGGCAGGCGTGGCACAACCTGACATCCACCTTCGTTTCACGTGGCAGGCGTGGCACAAACTCACATCCACCGTCGTTTTGCGTGGCAGGCGTGGCACTTATGGTACTGGGTGGCGCCCTTGGGCCGGGATTTGGCGCCTGTGACGCCGCGGCACTTTGCGTGGCAGGCGTGGCACAACCTGACATCCACCTTCGTTTCACGTGGCAGGCGTGGCACAAACTCACATCCACCGTCGTTTTGCGTGGCAGGCGTGGCACTTATGGTACTGGGTGGCGCGCTTGGGCCGGGATTTGGCGCCTGTGACGCCGCGGCACTTTGCGTGGCAGGCGTGGCACAACCTGACATCCACCTTCGTTTCACGTGGCAGGCGTGGCACAAACTCACATCCACCGTCGTTTTGCGTGGCAGGCGTGGCACTTATGGTACTGGGTGGCGCCCTTGGGCCGGGATTTGGCGCCTGTGACGCCGCGGCACTTTGCGTGCATGCGTGGCACAACCTGACATCCACCTTCGTTTCACGTGGCAGCGTCGCAAAACTCACATCACCTTCGTTTGCGTGGCAGGCGTGGCACTATGGACTGGGTGGCGCGCTTGGACTGGCTTGGCGCCTGTGACGCCGCGGCCCTTTGCGTGGCAGGCGTGGCACAACCTGACATCCACCTTCGTTTCACGTGGCAGGCGTGGCACAAACTCACATCCACCGTCGTTTTGCGTGGCAGGCGTGGCACTTAGATGGCACTGGGTGGCGCCCTTGGGCCGGGATTTGGCGCCTGTGACGCCGCGGCACTTTGCGTGGCAGGCGTGGCACAACCTCACATCACCTTCGTTTCACGTGGCAGGCGTGGCACAAAGTCACATCCACCGTCGTTTTGCGTGGCAGGCGTGGCACTTATGGTCCTGGGTGGCGCCCTTGGGCCGGGATTTGGCGCCTGTGACGCCGCGGCACTTTGCGTGGCAGGCGTGGCACAACCTGACATCCACCTTCGTTTCACGTGGCAGGCGTGGCACAAACTCACATCCACCGTCGTTTTGCGTGGCAGGCGTGGCACTCATGGCACTGGGTTGGCGGCGCTTGGGCCGGTGATTTGGGCGCCTGTGACGCCGCTGGCACTTTGCGTGCTACCCATCACAAACTTAAACACACACACACACTACAGCACCACAAACCTAACAACACACACCAAACTTAAACAACACCCACACAAACTTAAACACACACACACGACTTCACACACACACACACAGACACACACACACACACACACATACACACACACACGCACACACACACAGATAAACACACACACACAGACAAACACAAACACGCACACACACGCATACACGCACACATACACGCCCACGCACACACACACCCACACACACACACATCATCCAAACGCCAGTCGTGGGCCATCCGTTTTCGTGATGGTCTGCGCTGTACGTTTGCGGACACATAATCAATGGTCACGCATCGATTGCCCTTCGCCGCACTTCCTGGCGTGGGGCATCTTTGATCGTGGCCGCACACCACACACACATACTCGCACACACACACACCTCACACACAAACACAACTCATCCATACACAACTTACTCACACATACTCGTCCACACATAACTTACTCCACACCAATCCTTCACCATCTCTTTTCTCTTTCTTGCTTACCCCATGCCGTCTTTGCCTTTCTTTTGTTGCTTGTTGGAAGAAGTTGACTTGTGGGGTTATCCGGTCCTTTAATTAACAAAAACAACTTGGGAGTATTTCCAGGGATTAACGAAACACATGATGTCAACTGTCAAGCACAGAAAATAACTATCCAATGAGTACACATATATAGCTATTTAAAACATTTGGAAACCATCTGAACCCGAAGCAGAGGCAGGGATCCAGTACGATCAACCACCACTTCCTGTCCTGTGCCATGCTAGGTGCTGAAAAGCCAAGGCAACGTGCCAACGGTTGGTTCAATGGATTGCCTTTCTTGCAAACACCGCAAGAAAAGAGACCATGTTTTTTTTTGGTTGTGTTTTCCGTGTGTTACTTGTCAAACACATATTTAAAATTCATTGCCCTCTGGTAAACTAACATAGCTATTGAAAATGGCCCAGTCGAAATAGTGGATTTACCCATGAATAGCATGGTGATGTTCCATGGTTATGTAACAGTTTACCAGAGGGTAATTGACGATAAATGGTCTCCGGTCATACCGATCCAACAGGGCGCCCATGATCTTCCGCCTTTTGAGCACCAAATTCGACGATGCCATCCATCGTTTTTCGAGTGGATTCAAACACTTTTTCTGCACATCGTTGCAATGGATTGGTTTAGCCTCCCATCATTTAGCATATAGCTACAGGAATCTATATGATGCTACATGACGGCTATATGGAAATCAACATTTTGAGGCAAATGTTGGGCCCTTGGCTCAAGATGGCTCAACATCCAACGGCATCGAGCAGCCCCAAACGGTGCCCCCTTTTACAGCTGTCTTCACGGGTCAGCTGAGGACTTGATCCAACTTGATCCAGTATTCCTGGATTTCTGGGGAAAGCTATGAGTCAACATCCTGGTACCCTACGAATTTGAATGGCAACATATGGTAACACCTGATGTTACCGACGCGCGTTTCCCCACATGGTCACATGGTATGAAAAAGCTGTTTGATCATCTTGACTGGCCAGCGAAAGCAGGCGATGTGACGAGCCGTCCAACAATTCTGATGAAGTAGTTCGTTGCTTGCACCGGAAAAAAGGTTCGGTTGGTTGGTAAGGAAACAACATACAGCAAAGCCATGAGAATGTTGCAATTACATATACCCTCTGGCAAACTGTTACCTAAAACTATGGAAAGATCCACCATGCTATTTTCATGGGAAAATCAACTATTTCGACTGGGCCATTTTTTCATCCATTTTCCAGTTCGCAAACTGTTCATCATTACCAGAGGGTACCCTCTGGTAATTTAACATAACTATGGAAAATCACCATTTTTAATGGGAAAATCCACTATAAATAGCCATTTTCAATAGCTATGTTAAATTACCAGAGGGTAATTTACCAGTTTTTTTCGGGTTTCCTGTGATTCAGGTCTGGCGGCTCGCCAGGAAGCTACAATTCTTGGGATGTGTCCTGCTCCAAGAAGCTCCATGACATGGATTGGTGTTGGAAAACACATGGGGAAACCAAAAATTCGATGATTTTTTATCCAAATGTTCTTTTCCAGCTATCAAACTATCCCTCATTACATCCTCAAATCAATTGTGGGAGACATTTTTTCTTGATCCTTCAACGGCAACAAATCACCACTTGGTTTGTCTTAAAATGGAGAACGGACCCCCAATTTATGACCATGAAAGAAATGGTAACATGAGTTCCCAAACCATCCGAGTATAACTTGATGGTAGAGGTTTTGAGACGTGTGTCACACATGTTTTGATTCAATTCATGGGAAACAAATCATCCTGGAAAACCTAGTTTCATATCATTGGATGATATATATATATAATTATAATATGATATGATATATATATATATATCACTGGGAATTCATCATCCTGGATATAAATGATATATATATATATATGATATATATATATATGATTTTACCGAAGTTTGACCCATCCCAAGCGGTTTCATCTTTCGTGAGACGGCCGTGGCCGGTCGCCCTTAGGGCGGGATCCCTTCGACCGCTCTCACAATGACATGATCACCTCAGCTCGCGTGTGGATTCATGGGCAGGAACTGGACTAGATCACCTAATCAATAAATCATATATATATATTATCATATGCATACAATTATCATTGTTATTGATATTTAATATATGTAAAAATAATCTAATAATATTATTATGTTATTACATATATTATATTATAATAGCAATAACAAATATATATATATATATATCTGTATTATATATATATAGTGTAGGATTTAAATGTGTTAGAGTCGCTAGTGGTAACTATGACTCTAACGAGAATGGCCAGCCATCCTCAACCCCAACGTCGGAGATGGAAATCCTTGGAAGCCACATCTGGTTGGTGGTTGACCTCTGAAACCCAATATATGAAACCATTCATTATATGACCATTACCCTCTGGTAATTTAACATAGCTATTGAAAATGGCTATTTATAGTGGAATTTCCCATTAAAAATGGTGATTTTCCATAGTTATGTTAGTTTACCAGAGGGTAATCACTATTAACCACTATTAACCACTATTAACTACCACTATTAACCACTATTAACCACTATTAACCATTCATCATTAACATTAACCACTATTATTCCCAATGTATGGCCCTGTCTGTCTGGAAAAAACACATGTTCCAAACCACCAACCAGATATGTTTCAATGATTTCCCTATGACTTCCGATATTTCCCTCCATGACTTCCATGACTGTACCGCTGAGCACTTCCACGCTCTGAGCCGATGAGCTGGCCTCAGGGGATGGGTCAATTTACATTTTTTTTTGCACCGGTGAACATCAAAATCGTTGGTAAATGACAATGATGGTAAATGGATGTTGATCCCCCTAAAATTGTGGGTATTGACCCATAATAAAATATGGATATATAGCTTCATATTTTATTAGCTCAATAAGATATTGTGATACCATTCATGGCCAAATATTGTGATCAATTGGATAGTTGGTAATTTTTTAGGGTATTGAATGGTATTGACCCATAACCATATTAATGATAGTGGAAAATAGAGATATATCTGTATCAACTCATAATATCTTTTGTGGAACATACAAATAATTGTTAAAACCACCAATCTCTGCTAGACTCTAGTCTCTAGAGCATGTTTAAGGATTTTGCCAGTCAAGGAATCTCACTTCATAAACAAAAAACCTTTTCCTGAAACAATGATTATTTAATCTGGTTGGTGGTTCTAACCACTCTGAAAAATATTAGTCAATGGGAAGGATTATCCCATATATTATGGAAAATAAAAAATGTTCCAAACCACCAACCAGTAATGGTCCTAATGGTCCCTTGTTGGAAAGCTCATCTCCGCCGAGGTGTCAAGAAATTTCCAGAAATCAGCACGCAGAAAGCAACGAAGAGGTCACCAAGGTCTCGTGTTAATGAAACATGAGCAGCACGCATATAATATATACAGGTATATACATATACATATATATATATTATAATATATATATACACTATTATATACAAATTATATATATATATATATTCAGATCTAACAATCATTGTAGAATATTGTAGAAATCGATGAAATTGAACGGATGCAGGCTGTAAAAAAAAAACTGGTCACATCCATTAAGCAAATTGTGTCCAAAAAAAATATGAAGAAACATGGGAACAATACACACAGAAGAACTGGTGATACTGCCACGTCCACTGATGCCATCATCTTTGGACACGCAAACAAAATCATCTGATCGAAAGCTATGCAAAGCAGAATCATGGCTGATATTGATCTGATAAACCCAACTTTCAACAAACTACTTCTACACTCTGGTAAACTAACATAGCTATTGAACATGGCCATCTATAGTGAGTTTTCCCATTAAAAATGGTGATTTTCCATAGTTTTTTGTATGTTTACCAGAGGGTATGTCTATCTTGAAAAACACATTGACATCTCACAAGATTTTTTTTTCCATCCAAGCCATTCACCGACAATCGGATTGTCATTTTCTCATGGACAGATCACATCTTTCCAAATGCATCGACATCATATGGACATCATATCATACTTATCATACAGCACTGATATTATGGAGTATGATATTAATTACTTATCATTATCCATCATTATCCATACATATCATACTTATCATACATCTTTCAATGCCCAAATCTGCAGTATGTGGATTCGTCCTACAGCAATACGAGGGATACTAATACATCTGGCTAAATTACAAATACTTTGCGAACCTGAAAAAAGGTTCCAAAGTTATGGGATTACCCCTATTTTCATCCAGTCGTTATGGATGACCATGACTTCGTATCATAACAACCATAGTGACTTGGGGATCCCCCATGACTTAAGAAACCCCCATATTAGTAAACAACTATAATATACTATAATACAGTTCAAACCCACTTAATCTGGATTAAGTAGAACAAAAGAAACACACTGTTATGTTTGGTCAGTAACTATTAGACAATATTAAACATCTAACAAGACATAGTCATTTTTATAATCTGGATGAATTCTAACATATTCTAACATGTCAACAAACTGAACACGCCATTTGAGGGCTTCCCCTCGCTCAGCTTGCACCGTCATTCGACGTCGGTTTCCCGTTCATCTTCCCAAGCAACCCAAACAAATCATGAGTCAATTCCCAAACCTTGCCACTCATCATTGTGGGTTATATAAGCAGTAAAAGCCTGGTTATATTATGACTAGTACATACCCTCCAGTAAACTAACATATAGCATCATATAGCAATATAGCCTATATTGCTATAGAACATGGCCCATTTATGGTTGATTTACCTATGAAGTGGTGATTTTCCATAGCGAAGCGTTGGTTTGTTTACCATCCCCAAGTGGTAGGTTTAGAGTTTTAGGTTTCCCGTGGTTTCCCACATAAATCTACATTTGTTAATCATCCCACTTAGTAAGTGGGTTATAACCCCAGTTATAAGTGGATTAACCCTACTTATCCCACTTATAACTGGGGTTATAACCCACTTACTAAGTGGGATGATTAACAAATGTACATTTGTTCATCATATATGAGTACACATTTTTTAAACCATCCTTAGGCAAGCGTCTGCCGTGGTGGAGCGATGGTCACCTCTTGCCACGGTATCTTCATCCTGGCGAGGAAATGGAGAGTTCAATGGTGAAATGGATGTGAAATGGTTAATAATCATGGTTAATAATGGTTAATACTAATGGTTATTATATGGTTAATGATGGTTAATTACTATGACTGGTTGGTGGTGTACCTACCCCTCTGAAAAATCATGGAGTGAAAGTCAGTTGGGATGATGACATTCCCAATATATGAAAAAATAAAACATGTTCCAAACCACCAACCAGATGAACTATGATGAACTTGCTTGACTGGCTTAAATAAGTCTCATCATGTCTCATCCATAGTCTGATAGGATATGAATGGTAACAATTGACTGAGAAAACCCTAGTTCTTTGACAGAACAATGGAATCATATGTGCTGATTGAGCTGGGGGTGGTTTTGCTTGGACGGTTTATTGAAACCTTGGTCTTTCATCTACTCTCATGCAATGGTAAATCATTGGGTTGTTGAACATCCACTGGATTTCACTGTAAATCGCTTTTTCAAATGCTGTTTTAAAATATGTATGTATAAATATATATATAAGGCAATTTCATTACATTCGAGGGTCATTTCAATATATTTGAGATTCAAGGGGAATACTCATATTGGCTCAAGTCCATATCCATGCCAGATGTAGAGACTGAATTCTTTGATCCTGCTTTGTTTTACTGAGTTACTGCGGGTGGATTTTAACAGAAAATGTTTCAGTGTCAGTATGTTTGGATCATATTTGTTCAAATGATTTTTTACTGAGGTTTGTCCGATTTTTGTTTCGTAGATCTGATGGTCAAGCCTCGTCCTTGCTAGTGTGTGTGAGACATGAATGTGATGGGGTAACTGTTGGAGATGGCCCTGGATATTTCCCTGCTGCATTTGTTGATATCTTTGGGAGCAAATGGTGTTCCTCATCTCAGAAAGACGCTGACGTCCCACCCAGTTGCATTCGAATGTTTATGGAATATGTTTGGAATTCAAAGATGACAGTTTTGATCAGGCCATCTAATCCCTTCACCCGTGGTGCAAGTCAGGGCTTTCAAGAGACCCAGTTTTGACAATTAAAAGCAAAGTCCAAACCAAAGGATTTTAAGATTCGCTCCACCACAATCCCACAAAACTACTTTGGGCGCTCGTGGATGTTTATTTTCGGTCCGAAATCAACCCAGATTACAACCCAATTAATCACTTTGGGGAGCAGCCCAAAGTGCCAAAATAGTTCAAAGGGTCGTGCTGTGGAAATCGTGACGGTGATTTTTTCTACGTGATGGTTTGGGCAAACCATCGTCTTGGGAAACAATTTCCAGGGCGCCCAAAGTGTCCCAAAATTGTATTTCGGCACCCTTAAACTGTCAGATAGATATTTTGGGAACCTAACAGGCATGAATTAGATATTTTGGGAACTTAAAGATACTTTGCCTTTGACAGTTTACATCATCCCTACGTGATGGTTTGGGGCAAACCATCGTGTAAAAAAATCTGGATTTTCAAGTCTCCCAACGTGATGCTTTGAGTTTTCTTGGCATCTCTTGGCCCATTTTCCGTGGGTTTTGTTTTTCATATTTTTTTTATGTCGGTGTCCTTGTGTCTCAGGAGCTCGATGCGAGCAGAGTGTTGTATGCTTTAGCGGGTGATTTACCACAAACAAAGCAATGATTGCTTGGCCTGTTTCAAATCCCAAAGTCTACCATATGTGTCAGTGTGTTCATGAGTTGGGTCGAGCCGGGTTAATCAAAGATCTCTGGTGGTCCTTTGCCTCTACTGTTTCAATCAAAAAGTATCAGGTGAATTGTTAGTTTGTTACCGTGTCTCCCATCGCAATCATTTCCTAGTTTGATGAGCAAGCCTCTACATATATTTTCAAGAGCGACGTTGGCATGTCATCTGGGTCTGTGCTTCGACTTATGAAGCCTCCACCTATGAAATAAATATTACATGTTCGCCAACGATGATTGAATCAAATGTGGTTTTTACCGGATCACTTCAGTTCTTCGAGCTGGTGTTAGAAAGTGACCAAAACATGTCAGATGGATTCAAGTGGTTCAAGGTGACCAGAGATTGGGAACCAAAAGATAGTACAAATGAGACAGTTCGGGGCAGCTAAAAAGATTATGAGCGGCCGATCATGGACATGGTGTTGGCTGTGAATTTGCCTACTTGACTCTCAAATGTTTTGAAACTACTCCCGAATGTAGGGAAATCTCCTTATATATAATTTTAGGTCTGCAGATATTCCGTCAGGAAAACCTCTAAGCTTTGTGACTTTTTTTTTTCCGTTTAATGGCCATCTATGGTGACATCTTCATCCACAAAAAAAACGGATCTATAAATCTGCCTGAATACCGAAGGACAAACTTGGCCACGTATCTTATCAGTAGGTCAGTAGCTTTGGCATTGCCATATTTGCCATAGACCATATCAAGATCTAATAAATTAGGTGTGTTTAAAAGTAAAAAATGAATGATGTATATATGTATATATGTATGTATGTATATATATATGGGCCCTGTGGAACATCTCAGTTGCATAGAAATCATCTCCCAGAATATTGCTTCAATGCTTCTTCAGTAATGTTAAGTTAGCCCAATGGCCCATTTTTACGTCCCCAATTTTCCATTTTTTTACGGGTATGAACCATTGATAGATGATTTAAGCTCATCCTTTGGCTTCGAAACGAGGCTACCCCAAAATTTATTGTTTGTGTGTCATCGTCTATCTCTTTTTGTTAAATTATATGAACATGGGTTAATTGTTCGGGGCACACTGTATATCATATATTATAATATAGTATGTATATATATATATAGAATTATGTATATATATATATATCCATATGTACAGGTATTGTTTCATTTAGCTTGTCTGAAAATCTGCTACCTCTGGATCCGCTGAATCATGAGTTTCCCTAGTATAGTACTGTATATAATACACAATATATATATATATTATATTATATTATATTATATTATATTATATTATATTATATTATATATATGTACATAGATATACCCTGCTGTTTTTCGTAACATAGATGTGGATAATCCCCGTATATTTAAGTGGATCATGTTCCGAATGGAAAGACACCATGGGGCTTTCCACATCTTTTTGGGTTCACGTTGACTGCTCGATCATCCATGATCATCCCACGGACGCCTCGATCAACAAGGTTTGATAACTGCTCGGTGGAACTGTCACCAAGGATTTCCTAAAGCGCCAAATTTGGGGCTCATTCGAATGGGTGATTTTTTCTCTGGAAATTGAGAAAAGCCATGGGTTTTTACCCAAGAAATTAAAACCAGTGCAAGAAGGAACCCCTTTGAACCTCGATTTTTTTTCCCATGAAGACGGGGAAGTTCGGGGTAAGATGCGTGGGATACACCACAGTATGGGGCTATTATGGCTAACTAAAACTGATTGACGTCATGATGTTGTCAATCAAATTTAGACACCTTTGGCCGTCTCGTCACATCATCACCATCCCGAGAAACTCAAAAATCCCAAGAAGCGCGGTCGCACCATGGGTCATTCCCCTTATTGGGATTACATTGTTTCAGCGCATCTTCGCGGGCGAATCCCACGGAAATTCATGGAATCATTGAGTGATGTCATGGAAATCCTGTGATGCAAAGAAGAACAAGACACGTAGAATCACCTAAAAATATCAGAGGCTTTGTCCTGAAATTTGATGAACGTACCAAAACATTGCCATAAATGCAAGTAAATGACATGATGAGAAACGAGTTGTGAGTTTCCAACAGGACTAAAGATGATGTCTCAAGGATGTCTCGTGTCAGTGCAGGCTAGCATTCAACTGCACAAACACTTGAGGCCAGGTACTATTTGGGTGTGTCTGAAAATAGTGTACCCCTAAACCCAATGGTTAATGATCATTCTCCCTACTAAATGCCTATAATTGGGAATATACCCTATTTTCAGACAAACCCATTTAAAAAAACAGTTAAAAACAAAAAACATGCGGGCTTTGCCAGGAACAGAAACAATCCCTTCGCCAAACCAGCTTCAGTACCCTCCACGAAACTAACTGAAAGTTGTGGATTCTATGGTCCATTTCGAAATGATCTCAAACAATCTCAAAAAAGGTTGTTTCCATAAGTTTACCAAAGGGTAGTTTTGAGCAATATCCAATTTTTTTAAAGATATTTTTAGATATTTGATGCCACTGATGACCCATAATGGGAAGCCAAGAGGGCAACCAAAGGGCAGCTGACTGTCAAGTTGGTGTGCCGCAAATTGGGGACAGCTCATCATACTGTTTCCCTGCTCCACAATGACCAACATGTTCATACAATTTCGTCGGAGTACGTCAATATATGGAAATACTAATTGGTTCACACATGAAGCGTGCCATGGTGTGGCCCCACGGCTGAGTCTCAGGACATATATTCCAAAGAATCTGACCAAGTGCGCCCAGTGCAATAATTTCCAAGAGCCTGGAGTAGACCCTAAACCCACAGGGCTGACAGGGCTGGCAAAGGAAACATCCCCTGGTACTGCAGATGGTACTGTGGTTGTTTAAAAATGAACACCTCATGAAACGTATGGGAGAAAGTCATGGAAATATATCTATCCGAATCGTATGTCCCGATGGAAATACGACATGTTCGACATCGAAAAAAAACGCCTTTTTGATTCTCAAGGCTTCAGACAAGGGGTCCATGGCAGTTCCTAGGTGCTCTATTTGAACAGGGTTGGCATTTTCTCTGGAAAGATCGCCTTCTAAAGGGGTTAACCCATGTTAAACCATGTTTAAGTGCTATTTCACCGCTATTTCACCGCTATTTTAAAGTGATCTTTGGTGCACCCATGCTGAATGGAGCAGGGATATGATCATGTTGCACCCGAGCAGCAGATCAAAAGTGACCCTCCTGGCTAATACATGCTAATACAGTAAGCTCGTCAGCTAGTGACTGTTGCTGGTTCATAAGCCCTCAATAAACCCTGTGGAAGGTTGTTGAATCATGTTGAATTCATATGATATGTGTATCCATCTCTGAATTATGAAATTATGACAAACCCCACTTGACTCGGGGTCTATCGTTGGATTTCCAGTAATCGAAGATGTCAACGGGAAATCCCCCACACATTGTTTTTATACATGGGCATTGAAACTCATTGAGATTGGAAAGTCATCTAAAAAAATTGGGAATCATTCAATGAATATCATGAATCTACCAGGCTACCAAAACACCATAGGATCCATGGTGCTGGTATATATGCTGGCATGACTGGGGATATTTGGGGTATATTGATGGTAAAATATGGGATCCATGGCACACCATATATAGCAGCACCATGGATCCGTCATGGGTTACCATGTTTGCTGACCTCTGAGACGAGTTCTTTTTGGCACCGCCTTTGGCATTCCGTTCCCAGCGGATCCTGGAAATTCCACCGATCGTAGAACTCGTTCCAAAAGACCCTGGCCCTGGCGACGTTATGTTTTTTTTTCTCCCAGGAGGGTCCATCTGGTGATGACTCACAGACATAGCCATGGAAAGATCCACCATTTTTAATAGGTAAATCCTCATAAACCGTGGAAAATCCCTCATAAATGGAGGTTCTAATGGGAAAATCATCTATTTCTATGGGCCATCTATACCATGGCGAAATGTGAGTCATAACCAGAGGGTAACCGTTGACCATGGAAAAAAAAAACCTGTTTTTTGAATAAGCTGATGTGACCAACCGAGTCACATGTGGTGCCCAGCCATCCGCCCAACGTAAGGATTTTGTAACTTGGCCAACCCATCACTAGTTGGGTTTGGCCAGCTGTGAGGTTGCTATGATTTTGCCATCAATCATATCATTTATATCTATATAATATTATATGTATGAATATTATATGGGGCCATATAACCTTAGCACAATGTTGCGTCTGCAAAAACCATGTTCAATCTGCTGGCCACACATAATCAGGCCGGTGGAAGTCTTCTTTTCCTGTGGCGTTGCTCGGCGGCGCTGGAAACTGGTGGGAGATCCTTGTGTCAGACCCTCCATTTCACAGGTTCATTGCTGACTTGCTCTGTGGATCTCCGTGGTACTGTGCCATCTTCAGCTAAAGTGCTAGCTTCACCTATCAACCAGCCAGTTTCCTAATCCCTTCCCCTTGAATTTCCATGAATTTCCACATTCCATTGGGACCATTACAACAGTATATTTACCTACATTTAGGCCATTCATATCCATTCATGGGGTAAATGTTGGCAAATATTCATAAATATTCCAGCACCATGGAGCATATGGGTTACAAGGACATGTTTCATATTAGGGGGGATGGGAATGATCTCAACATATCTCAACCATTCCCAGCTCCGCTCCTCTGGCATCATGTATCTCAAGATTTCCCGGCCCGTGACGTCAATGGCCTTAGTGAAGCCGTGTTCAAAATGGCACCCCACGAAAGCGCAAATGCAACATTTACATGTACAAACAACATGGTCAAACTTAGATGTGGGGATGAGATGATATACATCCTATATATGTATATATATATATATACAGTATATAATTATATAATTATATATATATATGTAGGAAAATGAAGATCCGTAAATCCCAGTTTTTTGTTGGGCGAACAGAAGGTTACCGACTTTTTGACCCATAGATACCCATCCAAGTTTGCCAGGGTTGTATGACCCTGGCTGTACTGATTTTCAGCCTCAGAACGCATGGAAATCCCGAAATACGATGGCTATTAAGAAAGGGTAGGTCTTGTACCACAAGTCATTCGCATTTCTCCGACTCTATTCCGCTGACACACAACCACAAGGCTAGGGTGCCTCTAGCAGTGGTGACTGGACATTTCACCTCGTGAATTGTAAGATGTTCGACACCTAGGAAGTGTTGGGCATAATTTCACGACATTTCTGTATCAAAAGCATGGTACATCATGGTACACCGCTGAACGTCCAAATAACTGGTGCTCATTGACCTCCTTGATCAGTGCCTGCAGCATTTTCTAGCCACGAAAAAAAAGGTTCTTCGCCTTAAATCGAGAACATGGATGAACTTTCAAAATAACAGTTATATACATATAGTTACATAAATGACATGAATGGGTGTCTGAAAACGTGTTTTCCCCCCTTATATGGCAACTTGAGTAGGGAACATGCTAGAAAATGCCCTCCACGTTTTGTTGTGTTTCCCCCTAAGATGTTAGGGTACCAACCCCAGATGAGCTCAGTCATGGTGATATGGTGATACCTCAGATTTTCATCCAGTCGTCATGGATTACCATGACTCAGTCACTTAGAAACTTATAACACAACCCGTAGGATCCATGTATATGGTATATATTATATATGTTAACATGACTGGGGTATCTTGATGGGATCTATGTTACCATATAAATAGAATACATGGATCCTATGGGTAACAACATTATAACAACGTTGACTAACCCCATCTTAGCATGACAACTAGACTTAATGTGGCTAAAACAATGCCAACAAAAAGTCATCATCTCCCAGTTGCGTAAATATATTATAGGATATTATAGGTGCTATGAATGTCTGTGTCAGCCATTCCCATGGCTATGATTTTCCCATCGTTTTACCATCGTTTTAGCCACACGGACCCCCACGGTCTCGCCGCGGAACGGTGCAATGCGGCTGCTGCACTGCACCAAAGTCCTCCGAGGTCACGTGGGCAGTGAGGAACGCGACCGAGACCTGCCGGATGTGTCACCAAGGATTTATGGTGTTTTTTCATGATGTTTCATGGGGATTCAATGGGATATCTTGGAATCATATTATATAACCAAACATATTTAAGTGATTTTTCATGGGATATCTTATGGAAACATATTTAATTATGAAAATTCATGGGAAACAATGGGATATCCAAATAATATTCATTTAAATTATGGGATTATGATGTGTTTCACCAAACATCTTTTTTTCATGGGGATTCAATGGGATATCTTATGGAATCATATGGGGATAACCAAACATGAGTGATTTTTCATGGGATATCTTATGGAATCATATTATGATTATTATGGGGATAACCAAACATATTCAAGTGATTTAATATGATTTAATGGGATATCTTGGCAAAATTGTGGGAAAGAAATACACCACTTTGAAGTAATAGAATCTGAGTTCGTAAATATGAATAGATGTAACATTTCCATTGTGCACTGTTCATCTTTGCATGATGAATGGTGTTTGCACACATGATATATGAGTATATACAATATATGTGTTTGAACAAATACCGTACATCCACAATTTGATTTATGTCTGGGTAGATATGTATGCACATGACATGTATATAATTACGTATATTTATGTACATGCACATATCTATCGAATTCCGTAAACACATGTCTCATCACGTCCATCTATCTACCTATCTACTTATCTACCTATCTAACTATCTATCTATCTAACCTAACCTAACCTAACCTAACCTAACCTAACCTAGCCTAGCCTAACCTAACCATCTATCTATCTATCTATCTATCTATCTATCTATCTCTATATCTATCTATCTATATATATATATATATATACACACACGGGTTTGTATGATTTTGTATGTGAGAATGTACACACATACATATAATCGCGGTATTTGTATGTATTTGTAGATTATGTACATGTAAAAAATGCATGCCTTGAACCTTGCTGTGACCCTTCTATTTCGGATGTGTCAAAATATGTCAAAACCAAATCGGCCATTCGAAAATGGAAACCAGGGGCTGTGGGTTTCAAATCTATCTGGTACATAAGCAGATACGTAGATAGATAAATAGATCGATAGACTTGGCTTGCTGTGGACATGATACTTTGGTGAGGTCGCTGGGTAGTGCCGGGACCCCGTCTTCGGAACAGTCGCATTTGCTTGAGATCCTTGGTGATGAACACGGCCCACGGCCGATGATTTACCAATAAAAAAACCACCTCATCCAATGAGATATGTTTCACGGCTTTGAGACATTGAGCCTGCTGATGTTCAGGAAGTCCTAGCCTACATATATATATATATATTATATTATATATATATTATATTATATATATATTATATTATATTATATGTAATATAATGTATATATATATATTATTATATATGTTATGATTATATATAATATAAAAAAAAGAACTGATTAAACCTCATTAAAGAATCATCTCTGGGATGATTCTGCCCTCTCCAACCATCGCATTTTTTGCTCGTCGGTCACAGCGCCTCCACTGCGAGTGCGTCGAAATCCACGAAGATTCCAGCGGACAAAGCACCATCACCTGCGGAGCATTGGGCACGGCGCTCCGCACCGGGAAAGGCCATAGGTGAAACTGGTGCAACGATATGAATTAATGGTTAATAATAATGGCTAAATAGTGGTTAATAATTAGTGGTTCATAATTAGTGATTATATAGTGGTTAATAGTACTGATTAGATGATTAGACCCATTTTTCCTATCCATTTTTTCGACCCATGGTTTATTCCAGGGATTTTTTAGGCTGACTGAGCCGACTTCTGAACACTTTCACCATGATCAGAAACAGCGTACACTGATGGGGAACCCATGTTCCTCTCAGGGTGGTGAAGAAGCCATGGGTTTTCTTCCTCGGAAAAAAACAACTATATATAAAAAACTCATTGGGATCATGAAAACCTGACTTCCGGGAAGAGTTTACCCTCCCAAACGCCAAAACAATGCGACCTTCCAAATTCTCCCATAAAACCTTCAAATCAATCCAAGAATCCGAAACAACAACGTTGTCGACCATGGTGAAGATAGGGGATATAACATCGTGGATACTGCGGATTCTAAAACATGAAACTCAATGGGTTTATTCATAATATATAATATATATATACATTATATTACATATATATATATATATAATATACCCTCTGGTAAATTAACATAGACCCTGGCAGTCATCGGGGTTGGAAGACTAGTGAAACCATTAAAAATTGGGTGATGTTCATTGATTTTCACGGAGACGCTGCGAAATCCCCCATGACGGATCCGGCTGGTGCTGGTAGATTTTTATGCCATGACTGGGGTTAATCTTGATGGGATCCATGTTACCATCCATGGCACACCATATATACCAGCACCAGCCGGATCCGTCATGGGAAAGGATGAAATGATAGTCGGTAGTATTACAATAGCCCCATATCATCCAATTTGCCAAAACTCATGTGATTTCCCTGTATATTTTATGATTTTTATGGCATGTACCCAATGTTCCCATTCCCAGTTAGTTCTTGGTTCTGGATACATATCACATCATTCCCACTTTGGGGGTGTTTGGGATCCTTTGAAGAATAAATGATGGTAAATACCCTCTGGTAATCGAACATAGATGTTGAAAAGGCCATTTAGAGTATATTAGTTGATTTACAAAGCCACGGCTATGAAAATAGTAGTTTTCCATAGCTATGTTAGTTTACCAGCGGGTATGAAAGTTGGTGAATTGGTGAATATTACATATATAGATCTATTCAATGTTTGACATATCTTGGCAGGTGACGATGTGTCTAGTAGTCTGAAAGCGCCGCGCCAATAACGCCAATGGCAGTTTGACTTTGTATGTTCCCTCCTGTCATGTTTTTATCATCGCTTTCTCAAGTAAACCCCACTTCAGAAAGGAGGGAAATCCCAGCAAAACGGTCGTCCCATCCCTGGATCTCTGCCTGTATGGAAAGCCCCATTGACGCTTTGGCCCCCGCAAACCTGGAAAGTGATTGAAATGGCAGGGCCAATCTGATTGATACCCTTCAATAAGGGTCCCGTTTCTTTGAAAGCGGAGCTGCCAGAATCGTTCCGCTATTGGACGGTAGATGTCTCAGCCAGGCTCATTGGATTCATCGCCTCAAACCTGCCTCAAAGAAACATTTGAACCATTGGGCAGGGATGGGGGCAGTATCCTGATTCATACTGTTTAGATCGAATATAACCATCATTTAGAGCTTACCCTCTGGTAAACTGTCACATAACTATGGAAAATCACCATTTTGTTATGGGAAAACTCACTAAAAATGGCCATGTTCAATAGCTTTCTGTTAACGTTTACCAGAAGTTAGATATTAATGATTCACAGTCATCGTATGGTTAAAGTCATCGTTGTTTTTTTCGTTGGAGACTCTTTGGATCCTTTCATTTTCTGCTTAAATCCCAGCGGCAAACTAACACTTCGAAAATCAGAAAAATCACCCATTAACCAAATATGTTTCATGGGTAACACAACATAAATCACCATCAGACTCAACATCCCTGAAACATTCATAAATAGCCTCTGGTAATTTGTTACATAGCTATTGAACATGGCCCAGTCGAAATAGTGGATTTAACCATTAATAGCATGGTGGATCTTTCCATAGTTATGTGACAGTTTACCAGAGGGTAGCCCCAAATACCCTCTAGTAATTTAACATAGCTATGGAAAGATCCACCATGCTATTTATGGGAAAATCCACTATTTCTATGGTCATTTTCAATAGCTATTTTGACATAACCAGAGGCTAAAGCTCCATTTTCCTATGGTTTTCCTATGGTTTTCCTATGGTTTACCAGGCCGGGTAAGTGTTTCGTTTTCACCAACAATCCCCAGTAACGAGCGATTTGACAAACGGATCATTTTTTGAGGCTCTGAGCGATCTGAGCGACAGGACGGTGGAGACGTGCTGACCGTTGGCCGTCAAACAAACCTGCGTCAAACAACTTGGATTCGAATCACTAGAACCAATGGATTCAATAAGGCATATATATATACTGTATATATATATATATATTATGTATATATATATATGTATATATATATATATGTATGTATCATTACTATTATGATTATTATTAGTAGAAAAATGTTACTGGTGGGATTGTACTACTATTATTGTCATCATTATTCTATTATAAATATTTTATATTATATATCACTATTATTATTATTATTAGTAGTAGTAGTAGTGCTAGTAGTGCTAGTAGTGCTAGTAGTGGTAGTCGTGGTAGTGGTGGTAGTCGTGGTAGTAGTGGTAGTAGTGGTAGTAGTGGTAGTAGTGGTAGTAGTGGTACTAGTGGTAGTAGTGGTAGTAGTGGTAGTAGTAGTGGCGGTAGTAGTAGTAGTAGTAGTAGTAGTAGTAGTAGCAGTAGTAGCAGTAGTAGCACTATTATCGTGTATATATATATATATAAATGCTACATACATGGATATGCCTATTTCAGAGAAACAAACATGTGTATATGTAATAAGAATAGTAACAATAAAACTCGAAACATACATTTTTTCAAAAGAACATATATTAAACAAAAAAAACAATACTACGCACAGATTAAAAGAATCAACACTATACCCACATCCCTATACTACATACAAGACATCCCAGTTCGAAAGAAATTCGTGTTGGCGTGTTTCCTACAACAATCTTATGCAATCCTATATAATCTTATATAATCTTGTATATATATATATAATTATAATTATATGCATAACTTCTAAGCTTGGGATAGCTTGGGACCCGAGCCCTTGCCCCCTGGCCATCCCAATACATTCTCAGACCCCAAGCAAAGGAAATAATTGTCCAAGACCAAACTCAAGTCATCTTTCACCGTATCTTTTTGGATGGAAGGTAACCTATTAACCAGCCAACCTGTCAAAAAAATGGATTGGTTTACGGGAACATCTACTGGAAACATCTGGAAACCTTCCAGCCGCCAAAATTCGTCCGTGGGGATCATCATCCCATATCATCTCGCAACATGACCGGCTATGAATTAAAACCCTGGCACCCGGATGGTGCCCTAAAATAGCTGTTTTTTTCATGTTTTTTCAACGTTTATTCCCCCACTATAGAAATTTCATCGCTTAACTTGACCCCAATGTGCAATCCACCGGGTTCAACATGGTCTGCCAATGTTTTTTCGAGTTCTTCGGGTCATGAATCGAGTCACTGTGACACCCGACTAATGCGACTTCCACATGCAGGTTTTCATCGCTATAGAAGTCCCAGCCTCAGCTGGGCAAAAACATGGCCTTCGCTGCAGCTGGTACCCCATTGATACATGTACAATTATGTCGGTATATACATACATCTACATCATATACATACATTATACATCTACATTATACATTATACATTATGCATTATACATGTACATATACATATGGGTGTGTATACTCACATGGCTTTGTGTATCTATTTCTACGTATCAAACATCGCCAAAAAAAAAGTCCGTCGCAGGTGACGCCCTGGGTGCCACAACCCATGCCCAGGAAGACTTTCTGTTTCGCCTTGGTCAGGTCCAAATGATGGATCGGATCATATTACCAATATATATGGTACCCTCTGGTAATTTAACGTAGCTATTGAAAATGGCCATTAATAGAAGATTTTCCCATTAACAATTGTGATTTTCCATAGTTATGTTAGTTTACCAGAGGGTATATTTACCTATAATATATGATAATATATGGTACTTTAAGTAGATTTAATGGATAATTAATGGATAATTAATGGATAACGATTATCTGGTTGGTGGTTGAGCCTACCCCTCTGAAAAATGATGGAGTCAGTTGGGATGATTTTCCATTCCCAACTTTTCATGGAAAGTCATAAAATTCCATGGCTCCAATCCACCAACCAAATTATCGTGTAAATCTATATCCAGTAATTAAGCTAAACAATAAAAATCCGATCGGTAAATCTTCCCCAAAGTCATGGTGTCCGTTTTCTTGTGCGCTTTCGTTTGTTTCCAAAACTATCTGGCTTGCAAAGAAGAGAAGGTATCAACTTCCTGAAGCAAGATTTGAAATGAGTTTTATAAGGTATAGGCTTCTTACATACTACTTGGGATCTACTTCCTGACTATAAACTTCGCAGAATAATCATCAGAAAGCAGGTCCCTGGGCTCTTTATTTGGTGGAGGGGGAATGTTTAACAAAGGGGAGAAAGCATTATATACACCTGTATGATTTCCTATGATTTCCTATGATTTCCCATACCGGGTGATTTCCAGTGGCTTGTGTCCACATCATAAAGCTATTGGTGAACCATGTGAACCTGCAACATCTGCAACTGGGATCCACGGATGTTTTTTTTCGGTGCAGCTGGTAATGGGATCTCCATGGCCTTGGGATCTCCGTGTTTCGTTTTCCCACTGAGTTTCCGAGTTGCTGGAAATGTTGGGCAATCTGCGACAGATCCTTTGCTCATGACCTCGGTCACCGTTTGGACCATCCTCACGTGGTCGGATTCCATGGGACGGCTGGACATGGCATATTCCATAGAACCCAAATGATGCTGTTTCTACCTAGAGTTACCTGGTGGATTAAATGTTTTCGCATTGTATATACACATATACATATATATATATATATGTGTAATATATAATATACATATATATATATATTATATATAATATACATATATATATATATCAATTACCAAAATTGTGCTGCACAAAACTCCGCAAAAAAATATTCCAAGGAACTACAAAGGAGGCCTGTCCCCTGTGCTTTTTGAGGCTCAGCGGAATGGCCTCAACAAGCGAAGGCTTCCTTCCCCTAGGGGGATCCAAATTATATCGTCACCATGGGTTTCAATACGAAATCTTGTCAACTTGGATGATTTGGGGTAACATCAATTTTAGAAAACCTCAGATTATGTTGATCAATATGGATTATAATATCATATTAACCTCATATTATATCATATTAACCATCTGAAAACTTCCAATATTATATCTGGCTGGTGGTGCAATAACCATCATGAAAAATATGAAAGTCAGTTGGGATGATGACATTCCCAATATATGGGAAAATAAAAAATGTTCCAAACCACCAACCAGATATCATATTATATCATATATCAGATTATGGTTTATAATCATTACCAAAAAATCTACAGTATACCTCCTCTCCATCAACCCGGAAGAAAATTGCTATTTGACGTCCAAAGATCTGATCAAAACCGATGACGACCATGGTCAAGCCAACGGGCACTGCAACAAAAACATATTTCCCGTTCCATGAAATACTGGTGGGTTAGTAAATACCACTGCGGATTATGACAATTCCCAATAATCCCCAATAATTCATCCCCAACGTGACCCAATTAGTAAACTTTTTTTTTGACCCATCAACTTCATCAACAGAGCTAGTTTCTAATGGTTTACCCAACAAAGAAGGATCAAAATGCCTAGCTGGCTCTGATTTTCCTGGGTTTATCGGTTCGAAAAGAGTGGTCCAGGTCACCCCCCCATCGAGTCTGACCGAAAATCGCCCAAGAACTGGTGCGAACTGTGGGTATCTCCCATAGGATCCATGGTGCTGGTATATATGGTAACATTTACCATCAATATACCCCAGTCATGTCAGCATATATACCAGCACCATGGATCCTATGGATCTGACAAATACATACAAATACTGGTTGGTGGTATACCTACCCCTCTGAAAAATGATGGACTTCGCCAGTTGGGATGATGACATTCCCAACTGAATGGAAAGTCATAAAATTCATGTTCCAAACCACCAATCAAAATAATTAGAAAATAATGGAGAAATCTGAAAAAAAATGACACCTCAAATACAGCAAAATTCAACAAACTTGGTTCAAATACCTTGTTTGACACCTCTGTGATGATTTGAAAAACAGACTTAACGTCCAGCCGTAGAACTGATTAACTAATTGAGATGAAAATGCAACAACATGTCCTGAAACTATGTAAAATGTCATGGGTATTAGAACATTCCCAACGGGGGGTCAGGAATGTCTCCCTTCATATTAAATGTCTCTTGAAAGGGGAGTTAATCATCACGTTTCAGTGGTTCATTAGCTATTATTTCCTTCCTTTTTTGCTGTACATGGTGATGTTCCATAGAGGAACTATCTGGAACCCTGCACCAGCTTGAGACACATTAGCAGATGCAATGCGATCCGGTACAAGCACTGAGTCACTACCGTAGATGGAACAAATATTCAAACCCTTTTCATCAAATAATACACCCCCCTGCCCTCAAAATTGGATTGTTGTCAAATTGTCAATTGAAGTGCGTTGGCCCCAGTGGACCAAAATAAATAAACCTTATTTGTAACACCTCACTTGGTCGCACTCAGAAACATTAAGATTTGGGGGTGGAGTCACCATGAAGTGCATTGCAGGGCTTAAATCTTGTGTAGTGGTTCTTAGATACTTCTTCCGGCAAATCCAACTGCGAAAACAAGGTGCCGGGTCTCTAAGAGGCTCGCGACTGTTGTCACTTTTCAAACATTTTCAAGGAGGGGAACTGAAAAGGGGCAGAAACGAAACTTTGGTTTCATCAACATGTTCATTATTATCGTCAGCATGATCATCATCATTATCATGATCATCTTCCATCTTCATGATCATCTTCATTTTCATATTCATCTTTATCGTCGTCGGCGTCGTCATCATCATCATCATCAGCAGCAGCAGCAGCTTCAACAGCGTAGCACGACGTATGTGTGCAAGTGCAAGAAAACGCAAAGCAGCGTAGCACGACGTATGTGTGCAAGTGCAAGAGAACGCAAAGCAGCGTAGCATGACGTATGTGTGCAAGTGCAAGAAAACGCAAAGCAGCGTAGCATGACGTATGTGTGCAAGTGCAAGAAAACGCAAAGCAGCGTAGCATGACGTATGTGTGCAAGTGCAAGAAAACGCAAAGCAGCGTAGCATGACGTATGTGTGCAAGTGCAAGAAAACGCAAAGCAGCGTAGCATGACGTATGTGTGCAAGTGCAAGAAAACGCAAAGCAGCGTAGCATGACGTATGTGTGCAAGTGCAAGAAAACGCAAAGCAGCGTAGCATGACGTATGTGTGCAAGTGCAAGAAAACGCAAAGCAGCGTAGCATGACGTATGTGTGCAAGTGCAAGAAAACGCAAAGCAGCGTAGCATGACGTATGTGTGCAAGTGCAAGAAAACGCAAAGCAGCGTAGCATGACGTATGTGTGCAAGTGCAAGAAAACGCAAAGCAGCGTAGCATGACGTATGTGTGCAAGTGCAAGAAAACGCAAAGCAGCGTAGCATGACGTATGTGTGCAAGTGCAAGAGAACGCAAAGCAGCGTAGCATGACGTATGTGTGCAAGTGCAAGAAAACGCAAAGCAGCGTAGCATGACGTATGTGTGCAAGTGCAAGAAAACGCAAAGCAGCGTAGCATGACGTATGTGTGCAAGTGCAAGAAAACGCAAAGCAGCGTAGCATGACGTATGTGTGCAAGTGCAAGAGAACGCAAAGCAGCGTAGCATGACGTATGTGTGCAAGTGCAAGAAAACGCAAAGCAGCGTAGCATGACGTATGTGTGCAAGTGCAAGAAAACGCAAAGCAGCGTAGCATGACGTATGTGTGCAAGTGCAAGAAAACGCAAAGCAGCGTAGCATGACGTATGTGTGCAAGTGCAAGAAAACGCAAAGCAGCGTAGCATGACGTATGTGTGCAAGTGCAAGAGAACGCAAAGCAGCGTAGCATGACGTATGTGTGCAAGTGCAAGAAAACGCAAAGCAGCGTAGCATGACGTATGTGTGCAAGTGCAAGAAAACGCAAAGCAGCGTAGCATGACGTATGTGTGCAAGTGCAAGAAAACGCAAAGCAGCGTAGCATGACGTATGTGTGCAAGTGCAAGCAAAAACGCAAAGCAGCGTAGCATGACGTATGTGTGCAAGTGCAAGAAAACGCAAAGCAGCGTAGCATGACGTATGTGTGCAAGTGCAAGAGAACGCAAAGCAGCGTAGCATGACGTATGTGTGCAAGTGCAAGAAAACGCAAAGCAGCGTAGCATGACGTATGTGTGCAAGTGCAAGAAAACGCAAAGCAGCGTAGCATGACGTATGTGTGCAAGTGCAAGAAAACGCAAAGCAGCGTAGCATGACGTATGTGTGCAAGTGCAAGAAAACGCAAAGCAGCGTAGCATGACGTATGTGTGCAAGTGCAAGAGAACGCAAAGCAGCGTAGCATGACGTATGTGTGCAAGTGCAAGAAAACGCAAAGCAGCGTAGCATGACGTATGTGTGCAAGTGCAAGAAAACGCAAAGCAGCGTAGCATGACGTATGTGTGCAAGTGCAAGAAAACGCAAAGCAGCGTAGCATGACGTATGTGTGCAAGTGCAAGAAAACGCAAAGCAGCGTAGCATGACGTATGTGTGCAAGTGCAAGAAAACGCAAAGCAGCGTAGCATGACGTATGTGTGCAAGTGCAGCGTAGCATGACGTATGTGCAAGTGCAAGAAAACGCAAAGCAGCGTAGCATGACGTATGTGTGCAAGTGCAAGAAAACGCAAAGCAGCGTAGCATGACGTATGTGTGCAAGTGCAAGAAAACGCAAAGCAGCGTAGCATGACGTATGTGTGCAAGTGCAAGAAAACGCAAAGCAGCGTAGCATGACGTATGTGTGCAAGTGCAAGAAAACGCAAAGCAGCGTAGCATGACGTATGTGTGCAAGTGCAAGAAAACGCAAAGCAGCGTAGCATGACGTATGTGTGCAAGTGCAAGAAAACGCAAAGCAGCGTAGCATGACGTATGTGTGCAAGTGCAAGAAAACGCAAAGCAGCGTAGCATGACGTATGTGTGCAAGTGCAAGAAAACGCAAAGCAGCGTAGCATGACGTATGTGTGCAAGTGCAAGAAAACGCAAAGCAGCGTAGCATGACGTATGTGTGCAAGCGCAAGAAAACGCAAAGCAGCGTAGCATGACGTATGTGTGCAAGTGCAAGAAAACGCAAAGCAGCGTAGCATGACGTATGTGTGCAAGTGCAAGAAAACGCAAAGCAGCGTAGCATGACGTATGTGTGCAAGGCAAGAAAACGCAAAGCAGCGTAGCATGACGTATGTGTGCAAGTGCAAGAAAACGCAAAGCAGCGTAGCATGACGTATGTGTGCAAGTGCAAGAAAACGCAAAGCAGCGTAGCATGACGTATGTGTGCAAGTGCAAGAAAACGCAAAGCAGCGTAGCATGACGTATGTGTGCAAGTGCAAGAGATCGCAAAGCAGCGTAGCATGACGTATGTGTGCAAGTGCAAGAGAACGCAAAGCAGCGTAGCATGACGTATGTGTGCAAGTGCAAGAAAACGTACAGCAGCGTAGCATGACGTATGTGTGCAAGTGCAAGAGAACGCAAAGCAGCGTAGCATGACGTATGTGTGCAAGTGCAAGACTTGCCGATGTTAAATGTAGACCGATAGACCGTTTTTGGTTTTAGGCCACCTGCACCTTCGGAAAACGTGTGTTCTCCGATCCTGAAGTTATCTAACTTTGGATCCCACGGCCAGAGCAGCAGCCATTCCAATGTATCTGCCAACCCATGATTGCAAAACACATTTGGCTCAAGAACACGTTGGCTCAAAATGGCTCAAGACTTTGACTTCCCAGCTTTCAAAAAAAAAGGGGAGGAAGGGATGTAATGTAGTTGGCTCAAGACCAGTGTGGGCAAAGTTACCCACACTGGGGCTGGGAAAAAAAATGGGTAAGATGGGATTGGTAACTAGATGGCTCAAAACCAATTTCGGCAAAATTTCCAAATTGG